ACTATTTAAATAGTAATTTATTATAAATCTTTTTATATTCGCTATTTTAAAAATTTCGACCCTTAAAGTTTAAACGGCCATTCTTACTACTTTATTCCCTAATAAAAGATTTTTTACTGAAAATATTTACCGGTCGGAATATTTATAATTATATTTTAAACCGGGCGTTTTTAACTTATTATCGCCCGACTATTAATAATAAGAAAGAAGATCCAACCCCGTAGTATTATATTTCTAATTATAATTCAAGGAATATTAAATAAATTAAGTCGCTGGACACGTACTTATCGCTTTTACCGACCGATTAATAACCGTTCGGGTATTATATTTAAATATATACTGGCTTTACCGCACTATATAATTCGAAGTCGATACTAACTATAATTTTAAATAGCGTAAAAATATAAAAGAATTCAATAATTTATTAAGATTATATTCATTATAACTATATCGTCGTTTAATTACTTTAAAAACCTTTTTCCTATATAACTACTGTTAATTAGGGAATTAATTATTATATAAAAATTTATTAGACTTAATAAAGAAATTCTTAATTAATATTGAAAAAAGCGGTTTAAGGGAATTGGAATTATAATAAGGATTAGATAATAAGGAGGATAATAACGAGAAGGCTTATTTTAAATTAGACTACCCAACGGAATTATATAGGGGGTAATTTCCGTAAGTTAATAATATATATTGATTTTAATATACGATTGCCATTTATCCGTCGGACGCGTACTAATTATAATTATAATAAATCTAAACGGCTAATTTATAGATAATAATTCAATTTAATTTAATAATTTAATATCAGAATTTAAATTAATTAATTATAATATTTACTATATTACTACATAATTCGTAATATAAGTAGCCACTAATTATATTAACATATTAGTACGAATATAGGTTTTTGAAAACTCTTTTACTAATATATTCCAATAGGTACGGAGAATAGTAAATAAAACCATCCGGGATAAAATTATTTTAAAAAAAACGGCGGAACGACGGAATTATAAATATAATTAAAGATTTAAAAGTAATTATTCGAAAGGGTTTTTATAAAATTAATAAGAGGTTGGCAAGTATTTAAAGGATAGTTGAAAATAAATATAGTAAATTATTAAGTATTATAAAGAAGGTAATGGATATAGTAGATGAAAATACGTAAGATTTTCTACGATTAGAGTTAGATTAGGAATTTCTCTGATAAAGGATAAATAATTTAGTAATAGGGTTCGAATAATTATCGGTATTTATTTATAATATTAAATAAATACTTTTCTAATTAAATTATATTCGATTTTACCTATAAAATTCTATACTATTTAACTATTCGTCTCTATTTAGCCTTAAGATTAAGATTAGGAAACAAAAGAGAAATTTATTGGCGTTTCGTCCTATTTTTATAAATAATAATTAGATCCCGTCTTCGTTATATTACGGTTCAGTCGATTTATTAATAAATTCGTTCGATACTTGAATTTAATACTAAATTTTATTTATATTTATTTATATACTATAAAATAACGATCGGGTTTTATATTCCTGCCCCTAGGTTAGTTTTTATACGTTAACAATAAGTGCGTTATATTAAATATTTTCCTTATTTCGTATATATAAATAGAAATTAGGTATTTAATATTTCTACGTAGGGAATTATATTAAATTTGAAGTTTATGTATTAGAATTTTTTCTATAAATAAATATTTACCGGTAAGCGTTTTGCTATTTACTATTTTAATATATAGTATTTTAATATATTTAGATTTATAATATACTTTATAATCTTTTTAAATATAAAAAGAAAATTTTATAATTCGAATTAGTAGCCTATCAACAATATAATTTATATAAATATTCATTATACTATAGTACTAAATTTTATAATATAATCGCTAACCGGGTCTATATAAAGTTTAAATAATATTATTTTAAAAAATTAAGGCCGTTATAAGTAGTTGAGCGAATGAAATTAGATTTATCCTAGTTTTATCCGAGATTAATCTATATTATAAATTTTATCTAATATTTTACCCCTTTTAGCGAATATATTTAGTATAATATAAATAGCGCAATTATGTACTTATATGTATTAATTTAGCGAGAAGAAAAATTATTATATTAATTAGAATCTTTTCTTTTTAAATTTCTTTTCCTTAATTCTTCTTCGATTATTTAAATATTTATTAATTTACCTCCATCTACCCCCTACTACTCTTCCGAAACATATCAAAATTAATTAAAAATTTATTAACGATTTATTTTTTATAATAGCGCCCGCTTACTACAAATTTATAGCTTCTAACGTATATAAAGAATATTTAGATAGCGATTAGAAACCCGCTAAACCCGAGGATAAGGATAAGAAGGATTCACCACAGGAAGCGGCATGCGTCTACGAGATCGGCTCATGCTGTGCCGCTCTGGATCCATCTGGTCCCAAGTACTACGTATGTACGTATCGCCCTCTGTACAATCTAATGCTGGTTTGTTTGGTACTCCTGGAACACTGGACGAGATGTATCCCGAATTGTCCCAAACCTCACAAAGAGATAAACTGAATGGCTAGGTACGAGTCGGAAAGGCATCAACAAGATTCAATATGGCATATCAAATTTCCAAAATAGCATATGCAAGTTAAGATTACGCTTTGGTTATAGAACGAAACGGATCAATTAGATATATAAACGCCTAGGAAAGTTGACCAGAGGTCTCGAGCTAACAAACAAACCAGATTGGACTGTATTGCAATACTGTACCGCTCAAGTTACCTGGTGGGTTTCTCCATTTTTCCCAAGTCAATTGCGAGGTTAATTGGCCATGCTGGACCGAAATTGTCCACTCCCCCCCCCCCCCCCCTTCTTCCCCCTTCCCACTCTTTTTTTCCCAACACCCCTCACCTCTGTCGTCATTCGCAATGGGGACCGCTTTCCAGTTTCCAGCACTACAGGTTCCAACTCGACCTTCCCGATTCTGGATCGGCGGGCATGAGGACACCCATCGATGGTCGTTTCCAATCGTCCCTTTCGATGGTCATTGGGGGTTGAAAACTGGGCGCAGTGTGCCAAGTAACGGTTACCTTTTTGCGACCACACTATATACCCAGAAAGTAACCAGACTGCGACACGAGGTGCAATGAGGTGAGCACTTGTTGCGGAGACAGCGGCACTAACTGATAGCAACAGACCATTCTTTGGGTAGGTAGTAGGTAAAATGTGAGAACCGACACCCAGGACGTCGGAACCAGCGCTTGAAAAACGGCCTTGCAACATAACAGCAGCCTCAGGTTGGCGCGGTTAAAGCAGAAGATTGTGCGCAGCAAAACCTCAGAGACAGCGATATTATCATGTGATATAACGTCTCCACGGTCCCGGGGGCACAACGGGGATGACGGGGATGCCGGATTGACGGGGGGCCCAACCGCAACGGGGGGGTAAGACGGGATCTGCTACCCTCGACAAGAAAATCAAGCTTCAATGTAACCCGGGGAACGGAAGCACATCATCCAGACGAGCAATGCCAGACTTCAACGGCACTCAATGGGACCTCGATGCTTCCTCGCAACCAAGGGGGGAGATACTCTCCAGCAGAGGAATGGGGATGATCCCATCGACCCACAACAAATTACAGGGTCTGCCGTGCTCCCCCCAACTGCTCAACTTTGGTTAACGTTATACAGACCCAGATCCACATACCAAGTAGGTACTCTCGGGTGCGCGCTTCCAGGAAAGGCATAAAGCAAGTCGGCCGGGTGCGTGCCTGCGCAGCCTCACCTATTCTTGTACCTTGTGCTTTGCATTGGACATCTCTGGGTCTGGAGGGGGAAAAGGAAACACAGGGCACATAGCCGAGATGGGGAATGGAGGGGACTCCAGTTCTCTGGGCAAACCAGTCCGGGGCAAGCCGGGACGTGGATAAACATTCCATATGCAGTTTGGCGTGTGGAGTGGAGGCCCAGATGTAGGCCTGCAAGTCTACAAGGGAACAAGCCTCGCAGGGCACACTTCTTAGTGTAGTGACTGGCGGAACAGGGGCTGGAGTCTTCCGTGTCGGTACAGGGTTGACCTTGCTCAGGGCACTCACTGCCTTTCCATATCTCGTTCTTGCCATGGTCACTGTGGGGAAATTATCCCACAATGTTTTTCTTTTTCGCTGCATATTTTGCACCCTACCTACCTCTCTCCACATCTCACCGAGTATTCTTCAAAGAGAAATACTTGTCCCTTGCTTGACTATATCGAATAGGCCTACGGCGTATGGGCAGCAGGCCGGTCAAGTTGTTTGCGATGTGCGCAAGGCAACATGGCGTGTGTGAAAGAGAAAACAAAACGGGACCCCCCTCCCCTGTCCCCCGGCCTGATATGTATCATGGTACCTCTGGGAATGGGCATGTCCAAGTACGCACCCTACGTACCTCTACTAGCCCGAATAAACACATTCTGGCATAGGACCGCAGACCCCGATGCCACTACTTCGAGTCTGGCCTTGTCTTCTTCTCTAGCATTCAGTTTGCCCGTTCCTGCCCCATCCACATCTTCATCGAGTCCACCGTGTTCGGTACCCGTCCGAGGATCGCCGTCGACTCGAATGCCCCATTGCTCGCTCTTTTTCTTCCATGGTGATTTCTCGACCTTGATCAACCATCTTTCGACTCCCCCAGTGTTCAACAAACCCCTTCGGGAATAGCTTGCGAGCTCATTACCAAGGACGATACCACCTAGGCCCGTCGCTTCACATCGCCTGAATCCCTCAGTGGTACCCTGGTCGACCGTTTTTGGCGGGGCTTTGCTGTTTTCCAGAACCCGACTGTGTGGTTCAGGCGTCTAGTTTAGGCACTGGTTGATAGGCCTCCTGCGAATCACGGCCCGGAGCTTGTTCTGCCACCAGCACGTTTGCTTTTGCTCGCCAGTATTAAACCTACCATCAAGTACCTCCCAAGGTCCCGAGACCATGCCCTTCATCCTTCCCCCTTCGCTACACCACACAAACTCATCATGCTCTACTTAAACAAACGCTCTCCTTCCGAGGAGTTGGCCTCTGTTCACAACCCAAACTCTCCCAGTGGTACCTCTACTTGGCACGATCACAAGATGACCGAGGTAGTCGCATACCCTCAACCACAACACCTCTACCACTTCGGTGGCTCATCACATCGTTTGCTTGCCCCTGCCCCTGAGCAAAAGTCCCCTTACTTCTCTCCGGATCTATATCGCGAGATGCCTGTCTACCCCGTGGGCTACCAGACCAGCTCTCATCTGCCCAGGTCTCCCCCAGAGGCTCGCTCGGCTTCGGTCTCGAGTATATCCTCTCCGGCCTCCCACGGCACACCTAACATGTCTTCCTCCCGCACCATGTCACCAGTCACGGACTCCAACTCTGACTCCATGGCAAGCCCCCCGGTCTTGACCAGGACATATAACCCGCCGTCGTCCTACCACCACACACACCACACCTCTCAGGCGCTACCTTCGTCGTTAATCCCCGCCCCATCGCATTACTTGCATGCTCAGGTCGCCCCTCCGCCACCAATGTCTCTCTATCCTTCGATGCCGGCCCCGTCACAACGAGCAACGACGTACCCACCATCATCCTCATATGGTTACCACCAACACATGGGCCACCCTTACCCATCTCAGCAGCCAATGCACAACTACCAGTTACCGATGCACAACTATCAACCAGTGTACACCTACACCAGCGCCCAGGCCTATCCCAGCCATTCAGCAGGCACAATATTACCCTCCATGCCGTTCACTCCCACGCCAGGGTCCTCGGTCATGTCCCTCCCGCATACGCAACGTCAGGGGAAGGCTCCCATTGAGCGCTTGCTGAAGGATAGAAACGACATCGTGATGATGATCCAGTCACACCTGGACTATTTCGACGTTCTCAAGGCTCAGATGGCGAGCAGGTTCTTCAGGGACCACTTTGACCCCTCCAAGTGCCCCGAAGAAGACAAGATCCGGTGCGTCATGTTCGCCGAGATCAACTTCAAGCGGTTCTGGCCCAACAACACCTCTTCCGGTGGCCGGGGCGGCGACAAGGATGACGGCAAGCACCCCGGCTCCTTTGGGTGCTACCACTGCTTCAAGGTCAAGAACCCGGAAAACTTTGAGCTGTTCAGGTGGAAGAACGATTTGGAGGATGCCCCTGATAGCAACAACAGCAACAACAACAATAACTCCAACAACAAGGAGCAAAAGAGCCAAAGAGGCTCCATCTCCTCCTCCTCCGCCTCCTCAAAACAACAACACCAAGCACCAACAATAAACATCACCCAAGCCTCCGCCCAACAAACCCCACCTCTATCCCCCTCCACATCCTCCCACACCTCCACCTCCTCATTTTCTCTCACCTCAAACCCCCACCACGACCCCTCAGTAACGCGCTCCTCCCTCGCCGCCGCCGCCGCCGCCTCCACCAAAAACACTGGCGCCCGCCGCGGCGGTTCCGGCGGCCATTCCTCCTCCGGCACTTATTCTTCCTCGGACCAATCCCCCCGCATCCACGAAACCTGGGGCATTAGGAGGTTCTGCATCGACTGCGGCATCGCCAAGAAGTTTTATAGACCGGGCGTGCTGATCGAGCTCCACAAGGAGAAGAACGCGGTGTGGGTGTGCGATTGCTGGGTCACGCATAAGCGGCCGCAGGAGCTGGATTGTAAGGTTTGTAAGAAGATTTTGCCGCTGAGCACGCCGAATCGGAGGAGGGGTTGATCTGGGGCTGATTTTTGGGGTTGGCCTCGGGGGTTAGGTAGTGCCGGGTTAGGACGGGGCGTGAGATGAAAATCGTGGTTGGGGTATTAGTTGGGACTTCGTGTTGCTTGGGAATAATGTTGGCTTTGATGGTTGCAGGCGTTGGGAGGGAGGGTTTAGCGCTGTCTTTTTGTCCATGTTTTCTTCTTCTTCTTCTTCTTCTTCTGTTCATGATTTTTTTCCTCGGGTTTTTGGGTATATGGATTCTATTTGATGGCGTTGAGAAACAGCGGTTTTACTTCCTCGAATATTATTCTGTGAGGTGACGAATCTCTATGATGTTTGATGATCTTGTCGTAGGTAGTAAGTTTAGAGTGCTGATAGAGCACGCCCCCTTCTCGCAGTGGTCATCAGGGGGTCAGGGGCATTGTTTCCCGCTTGCTGACCTTCCCGCTTGCCCTTCCCGCTTGCCTGTACGTGAATGTGATTGGGGCCGTTTTGGCTTGGGCTTGCTTATACGAAGTCCAGCCTATTGTATCTGTATGGGCCCTGTGTGTTCTCTTTGTTTTCTTTACCAACTGAGAGCGGGATTGATTGAGTGATTGAGTGATTGCTGGCTGGCGTCATTTCTTCCTCCTTTTTTCCTTCCCCGGAATCATCCATACCTACCTACATACATCCCGTTTCATAAGGTCGGCAATCACAACGTGCAACGGCGACCACGGGGACCACGCAAGGCAGAAAGATCCCCGATGCAGTGCGGTCAGTTCTCAGTTTTCGTAGACCGGCGTATGCAGAGACGGAAAAAAAAACATGGGGAAAACGTGGTGCTTGAAGCAAGGGAATAGATCGACTTGTCAAACTTCAGTGAAAAGACTCACTCGAGTCGCCAGGATTTACTTCCAGTGAGAGGTGCTATGGCACTGAAGAGCGGTGTCTCCGGCTCTGTGGCTTGAGTGGGCGTCTCTGACAGCAAGGTATTGTCGACCTGCCAGAGATAACGTGGGATGATGGAAAGGGCAATTATGTCGCCGCAATCTCCTCCCGGTGTTTTCCTATTATTCCTTCCCTTTCCACTTTCTTGGCCTCCATTGTTATCATTGCTCATCTTCTGTCCTCGCTCGTTTTACGTGCGCAGACCCCAGGCCACAATGTACACCTAGGTGAGCTTCCATGTAACCGGGTATCTAGGCCTCTGTTACCCGGACTGTCGTTGCTCTCCCAGAGTTACATTGACAGTTAGGAACCTCAACCGTCCCTCCCACCACCCAGACAAGCCACATACATAATCCCTCCCCCCCTTGATAGCGACAATTAACATCCCCTTCGTATTAACAAGGACCGTTCTTCCGCCTTACCTGACAAACATACCAAAAGGCTCACTTCCTATTGGTTAACCATGGAATTTTGGACAGCCACGGGTAACCACCTAATCACAGCCTTTCCATGTTCAATGTTACCCTGATCCAGTGATTTGCCACGGTAGAAGAGAACGGGAGGGACATGATGCAGAAAGAGGCAGCTCGCAACAGGCGCGTGGTAGTAACAAACGCGCGTCAATCACCAACAAAGAGAAAACTTTTCATTGTTGCAACGTTTGTTCGTCACCGAGAGATACCGCTTTTCGCCGTATATATGTGTCTATATCACCCTTACTTATGTTCGTGTATATGAGTTACTGGGTAGAGGTAGCGTGGCTGTAGATCATGGGGACGGATGAGTGCTATGTGATTCCATGTATAATGGGCCCGTGGTACGACTTGCATTATCCCACTGCCTCGATATTCATGCCACTAAACTTGACGGCCTTGGGGCAACACTTGTTCAGAACAGAGATGGACCAGACTACGACAAAGACTGGACTCGAAAGGTCGCGAATAGCACCAAGCCCCGAGTCCAAATTAAGGAGCTCACCGACTCAGGAGCCAACACGCACCCTCTGCCTTTCGATTGTTGCATTGGCGTCTGGCGTAATAACAAATAAGAGTAGTTACCAAGCTGTCGGGATTTGATATCTGATATTTGGAACGCTTGCACTTGTTTGCCTCCGGTTCCCCCTAAACCGGCTAAACCATTTCAGTAAGGAGCTGAGGAACTTTGCCTCTTCCTTGTTGTACCCGGTGCCCACAACATGATATGCAAATACAAGGAAAATTTCATTGAAGGAATGCGGAGGAGAGGCAGGGACTGAGACATGGCATGATTTCGCTGTGGCTCTGTGGTTCGGCGGCTAATCAACGAAGCGTTCGTCGCGGCACTTCCAAATTCAGCCATCCCGGGGAAGACTTCTTAGTTACAGGATTTTGTCTGCTTGTAGAAATATTCCCGTCGTAAATGGACCCCTATGAGCACTAGTAGGTGGGGAAGATGTGAATCTGGGGTATGTCATTGAAGGTGAGGGCAAAGAATAAAAGAGCAGCTTATCTTGTTCCTGGCACTCACCGAGCCATTGGAAGCTCACTTGAGTATGAGATAGGCTCACTTTGAAGATCCAGTCTCCTTGTCACCCCTGGCATCATCTCGGTTATAGAGAGCATCGGCACGTCGGCACTGAAGACCTGTGTTCGCCTCTTCATTCGGTCCCGATGTGAGGAAGGGAAACTTGGTGTCCTGTCAGGCCTGTATAGAAACTGCAGCTTGCGTGCAACCATCTGAATAAAGACGTCAAAATAACCATGGAGGGTGAGGGACTAAAGGGAGGAATAGCAGAAGACGGTGAGAATCGATACCTGGCTTTCCTGTATATGGGCCCCTGTAGGGAAAAGCAAGGGATGTCATGGGGGGTATAAGAAATTGTAGGCCAATAAGAAATGTCCTTCTGAATTCGAACATGCAGATTGGACGAACGTCATTCGTGGTCGGGTTAAGGATGGTGGGCGGCCTATGTGGCTTCAAGAAGACCGTCTTTGAGCCAGGCTTCCAGGCTCAACACTGTACTGGGCTTCCAGCTAAGGGTCTGATCGACCGCCATGGAAGAAGCTGTCTTCAGCCCATTCGGCTAGCAAACAATTCTTACTGTGTGCTGTACACTATGAACCGACATTCCGTGAAGCGCTTAGCGCGGCACTTTCTGACGCTCATTGGTAGGAAAGAAATAATGGCTGTCGTGACGCGATATCGGTGACACGTATATCTGGCCGTGATATGTTTAAGGTTGATGTTGTACATCCGTTCACACCATCGAACGGCCGACCAGAGACACTCGACTGTTCGGTACGGACTTGGATCAAAGGGGTGTCATCCGGTTAAGAAAAAGACGCCATCTCATGAACATCGTCTCGTTGACGGAACCGGAAGCCTATGCCCGGCGATTCAAATTCCAAATAGCGGGCAAATTTGCCGGCCAGCCGGTGTCATAATCAAACGGTGGGGAGACCAGAAGGACACCGAGGAAGTCTAGTCGGCGACTTGTACCGTTCTGTCGGGTCCGTAATCATTCGCTTCCAGGAGACTCGGGATTCAGGCTAACCATTTTCAAGACCGTTCAAGGCCATGGTTGGTGAAATGCTATGTCGGTCTGTGTTATTTTTTTAGACGAACGCATTGCGCTAGGGACGGCAGCCGGTTAGCTGCGGACGACTAGGCTAGGCCGAATGAGAGGAGAGAGAGTCGGCGATCCTGACGCCATCTGGTTAGGCGGAACGGTATGTTGAGCCCAGCCGCGCTGGCGCTTAAATCGGAGCAAGTTGACATGGCCGAGCGTATGGTCACCGTGGAAGTAAGGGCAAGAGGCCAGGATTCGGGACAGCATGTTTGGGTTGAACGAACGGCCGCATGAGCAGCAACGCCCCTTTGGATACTGGCTGTAGCTGTGTTCGGAATGAGGCGCTGGTGAGCAAGTGTCCAAAGGTAGGTAGGAGCAGTGGTATCAAGGTATGTATTGGTAGGGATTGGCGAGGTTGCAGATGTGGCTCAAGTAACATGATTTCGAATAGCTGCAAGCTTATGGTTCGCGAACCAGGCCGTGAAGAGGGCAAATCTGTGGAGCGGAGAAGTTGCACGCTCGCAGCTGTGAAAAAGATTGGGGTCAGCAGGAATGCAACTGAAGGGGGGGGTTTAGTGTGTTGCTTGTATGGGATACAGTGGTAGTGGGCGGTGTTACGGGCCGCGTTACCTTGATTGAATATGCATGTAGCGAGACTGCATCCTTGTTGACGTCGTCGCTCGTCGGCGTCGGGTGTTGTTTGCATTCTCTCCGATCGACATCACCAACGTCAGAAGAGTCTTTCGTTCGTTCTCAGAGCTGCAATTGAGACACGAGACTGACCGAACTCGAACAAAATGACGGTGAGGAGCTGCAGAGTCTTGTTTGATGACTTTCACTTTGACGTGCTGGGGCCGGTAGGGTGTTGGGTCAAGCACGCAGACTATTTGCAGCAAGTCGCCGGAAAAAGATACCAAGCCTGGCGATGTCTGAAGATCCGAAGCGGTCGGCGACGGGGCTCGATTTCCCCCAAGTGGTGATGTGGTAGCTGGTAGCATCATGGCAGCTGGTTGGATGTCAGACGGTGGAAAGCTCGAGATAGGTGGGAGATGACGGCTGCTTGGGCTGTTTGGCTGCCATATCAAGGATCAGAGCCCGACAGGACTGCCGTGGACTCAATACCCTGGATCTGGAGAGCAACCTGGACAAGATTGTGTTTGTGGGAGCAAAGAAGAGATTTCTTTGGCTGGTTGTGGATGCCATTGTCGCACCTTCCCCGTTGACGTGCACCTCAGAATCTTGAGGTCGGCTAATGCCTTCCCATCTTCATTCCTACGTGCCTTCCTATGCTGCTAGCTGTGCCCCGTTTACCTTACACGAAGGGCAGCAGGGCAGGTGCCTCTGGTCACCTGATACGTCATCTTAGCTCTCAGCTTCCAACTTGACGCTTTTCCCTTCCCGTCTTTCTCCCGCTCCTTTCCTTCTCCTTATTGGACTTGGACACAATAAAAGTTGCAAAAACACATTGCTGATACTATCTGCAGCAACCTCCATAAAGCCTGAGCCTGTCAACATTCATGGGCCAGAGCCATACCCGGACACCCACGAGACCACCAATCCGTTAATGTTAGGCTATCGGCAAACCTCATTGGATACGAGACTGGGCTCTCTGTGTGATGTGGTGCTCCAGACCGTCGTTGATGACGAGAAGTACGGGTTTATTCATGCCGCCTCTGGCGCTCGTGACGCCACCGACAACGGTTCGAGCCTTGGAGATTACACAAGAGGGGCGGCACTCGGCCATGGCAGGCTTTGGCAGCTTCGCCAACACGAACATCACTGGTCAGTCATCTCTCCCCTGCATCGTACACACCCTCGTACACACACCGACCAAACCCCAAATCTGGGGGCCGAGCAGATCCCCAGCAGGCGTGGGGCGGGGGTAAAACAAGGCCTCATGTCTTCATGGTGCTGTCACACTTTTGCCTCTCCCGCATTCTCCTATCAAACCGTCCAGGTGCATATGAGCAGACACATCACTAACGCACAACGGTCAGCCGGTCACCCTCAGACGACGGCAGGCCACCGGCCGGTTATCCTTTGCTCCGATGTGACCTGATATCAGGAGCACAGACACATATCGGCGATCCAGAAATAGCAGCCGTGTCGTGGCCCGCAACGGCGTGACACGGCATTTACATTTTTGTTCCTTACATCACCATCTGTTCGGAGTGCGTAGACACTGTTCTCTATTCCAAACATATGCTGCCTTTGCAACAGGAAAAGGTCTCTCATCACCAACAGCACAATCTAAATTCCAAATTGATGTCGAGCTCGACCCATTCTGGCTTCTCCTGCAGCAGCCGGAACTTTCGTTTCCGCTTACTAAGGAGTTAGGAAGGAAACAGGGGATTGTTTTCCTCCTCTGAAATAGCGCAGCCACAGGGCCAATATCAGGAGCTGATACTCCTTTCTTCTTCTTTTTCTGCACCCCCTCCCCTGTTTCCAGAATATTCTTCTTCAGGCGAATTATCACATATCATCTTCTTGGGGACAGCCGAATGAAGATTGCTATCTGCTCATGCCCTGGTGATGTCTCACTATCAGGCGATTGACACCTGTCCATGAAGAATTAGTGATTATCAAAGGTTTGGTTGGCTGGCTGAAACTTCAACCCTCAAGGATGGAGAACCTAACAATTGACTTGTGAACAAGTGCACACGAGACAACCAGTTCGTAACAAACAAAAACCAAGAAGAAAAGCAAGCTCCAAAAGGCCAAGAGAGAGGGAAGTTAATAACAAAGAATGGTAAAGCAAAAATAGAGAAAAATATTAGCTGCAACTCGTTTCGATCGAGTGACCTCCGGGTTATGAGCCCGGCGCGCTTCCGCTGCGCCATGCAGCTGAATTCTGATTTGATGAAAAGCTTTGGCCATTGTTGACCTTTTATCCCCACCAAGGGGTTCTGAACTCTTCACTGGCGAGACTGGCTCCTACACCATGCCAGCTCGCATCAATCCCCAACGGATGTCTACAATACGTTCATATTAAAAGACCCAAAATGTGTCTGTTAAAACAAGAAGCTCTGTGCACGAAAACCGGAAAAGACCGCACCAGGATGTCCTCGTCGTACAGTTCAACTTCCAAGAGTTGCGATGGCTCGTGCGCCTGGTAGCTTGGTAACGGTACACTTCCTTCGTCGAACAAGTGCTGGTTGGACACTCGTCCATAGCTTCGTCACAAAAATAGTGAACTCGTGCAAGAGGGACAGGATAACTGAGAATATTGATATTAGAATATTGATCAACCTTCTTTCAAAGAAAATAAAATACCATTGCAGTTGGGCTTGTTTTCATCATCAAAAGTGTTCGCTTGGAAGTGTCTCCAGTTCACCACTGAGCGCACGGACCAAGTATCGTTCATGTTGGGTAACAATGGCTTCGTCTGCTCTCGATGGTGTAGAACTACTGTTGACTTGAAGGAACGAGTCAGGTCAAATTTTGGAAGGAGATGAGATTCCAAGAAAACTAAACTGAAGGAGCAATGAAATGTCCGTTGTTCTGCACTATTGCTGCCAGGTATCTAGAGTAGATAAAGTAAGAAAGGTCCTAGAAAGAATACCTAGGTAGGTAGAAACATCACAGCCTGCCACTGCACGAAAACCCATCGGTACTATCATTCTATCTTGTGCCCTTCATGTTTCCAAGCATTACTACGGGGAAATTGTGAACAAAGAACTCCCCTAAACAGGATAAGACGGCGAAATAAAAAAGGGTAAAACCTAAGGAGTGTGATCAGAACAGAAAGACATGAAAGAAACCTATACTGAACTACCAAACTACCCAACTCACAAACCCCCCTTCTCATTATCCGGATTCCCACTCGGCACCGCCACAAGACTCGTAGCCACAGCCGTGAATATCTCCGTCGCCGACGGGAACGGCGAACCCTCCGTGGTAGTGTAAGTGATTGTTTCATGGAGACTTACTGTTCTGTCACCCTTACCGGAATCACCACTACCACTACCACCACCACCACCGGCCGCGGCGGGGGCCGAAACAGAAGCACTCGGTGCAGCAAAGCCGCCGGAAGTAAAGCCGGAAGAAGTCCAAGACCAAGTAAAGCCCGGGAAGGTGGTTGTCCAACTCCACGAAGAACCCGCACCTCCAGCACCTCCGGCACTGGTACCCAAAGGAGCATTGGCAGTGACTGGGCTAGCAGTTACCGTGACAAAAACAATGCTTGGAGCCGGAGCTTGAGGCGCTTGAGCAACGGTCGTTGCTCCTGAACCCGAGCCGCCCCCGTTACCGCCGCCGCCAAGGGTAATGGTAACAGTGCTAGCTGCTGCCGTCTGAGCCGGCAAGTTGGCTGCATTAGAGTTGGCGACAGTGACAATGACCGGAGTAGATTGAGCAGTGGGAAAGATGACGGGGGCAGTCACTGTTGTGACGATGATAGGGGCTAGGGAGCCGCCGCCGGCGATTGAGTTGGCCGAGCCGTTAGAGCCATTACTGGCAGCTGCTTGGGCAGCGGAGGAAGGGGCGGGAACGATGTCGATAACTATCACCGTTGGAGCCGCTGCGACGGAGGGAGCGATGGCGGTAGCGGAGTTATCGGGAAACCCCGAGATGCCGGAAAAAGCGGAGAAGCCAGCTGGTTGGGAGACCAAAGCGTTGATAATGACGGTGGTGGTACTGGCGAAGGATTTGGAATTGGCGTTGGTGATGATGTTAGTGGCGGCTGCGGTTGTGGGAGCGGGGAAGGAGACGGGGTCGCCGGCTGCTTGGGTGATGCTCACGACGATGACGCCGGGGGCTCCATTGGCGGCGGGGGCATCGGCGGTGATGAGGACCGTTTGGGTGGTGGTTGGGGAGGCTACACCGCCTGCACCGGGAGGGACGACGACTGGGCCGGCGGCGGAGTTGCTTGTTGCTGAGGGTGGTATGACGACGGCGCTGGCGGAGCTGATACCCGGGATTGGGGATGTGATTGAGGGGACCACGACAACGGCGCTGCTTGAGGAGACCGGAGGGGCTGCTGGTGTTGCTGAGGGAACTACCGGCGGAATAGAGGGCGCTGCTGAGGTGACTAATGGGGCTGTGAGAGTTGCATTGGACGGTGCCGGCAGGGGAGCAATGCTTGTGGCGTTGGGAAAAACACCTGCGGCAGAGGAGTTGCCTCCTCCGAGAGGACCGCCGGTTCCCGTGACGATGGGACCAGTGGAGGTTGGCACCGGAGGCGATACTGGGGGTTCGGTACCCGGAGGAGCTGGTGGTGCCGATACTGGGGATGCTGACGCAGGAGGAGCCGATGCAGGAGGAGCAGACGCTGGAGGAGCCGATGCTGGAGGAGCTGACGCCGGAGGAGCTGACGCCGGAGGAGCGGGAGCAGCCGTCGCCGGAGGGCCCGCCGCTGAATCAGTGTCGGCGCGGACGTCGGCTGGTGTACGGTTGATGGGATAGGTAAACTTCCGATGTTTGATGGGCTCCTCTTCGTTATTGAACAGACTCCATCGTTTGACGAACCCACGGAGCCCGTTAGAGAAATGATTTCCACTTTGTATTTGCCCCTGAGTAGACAACTGCGGAATGACCTGCTTGTTATCTTGGGATTGCCTATGAGCTGGTGCAGCTATAACAGACGTGCTCGCTACAAGCAAAGCAACAGCCAACGTTGGCAGCTGCATTGTGTCTGTTTACTTGCTGTCTCGTTGGTCGTTGGTGGTTGACAGATGGATCAGAGTCTTAGGTAACGAGCGTGGTGTTTTGGTGTGGAGGGCTGCTTAGCTTCCTACATTAAGATGGGTATTGACCGGAGCAAGATATATAGAGGGGCCGAAGTATGGGAAAAATCTCTCTTGGCTGCCACCTGAACTTCCTCCACTACTGTCAGGAGCCCTGCTGTCGTCTGGCCTTGTTTCTTCTCCCGTTCGGCCGTTCCGAAGCGTACAAGCTTCACCCGCATTTAAATACCAATGCTGGGAAGACATACCTTGGACATGGCGTCATACAGATCTACCACCATCGGGAGTCGGATGATGCTACTCTCCATATGGGTCATTTACAGCATCGAGATGAGTGATTTCCGGAGAAGAGCTCAAAGTACTACCAGTAAAGAAGGCTGATTTTCCATAATGATCGAGTACAGCCAATGCTTTGCCTCCATGGGATCAGGAGAAAGACCCGTACATTGGTACAAGTAAACCCCAAAGGTTGTTCGTGCCACAACCGCGCGTTGGCAGGTATGACTGTGACCAGAGGACAATGCCAGGAACCGTAAGTATCGAGTCCTGTGACACTTTCACGTCTTTGGCACTCGACACTGCTGTTTGGAATCTTTCAACGTTATTCGCGTAGTGTCTTCTCAAGGCCGCGAGAATCAACGACTGCGTGCGGCTGTTGAGGTCTTGCATGAGTTGTCTTGAGTTAAACTCCGAAGGCGACTCTGAAATGAGACCAAGAAGTAAGTATACGAACCCCTTATTTCTGGAAGTCGGCTGGAGGAACACTAGAATAGAGTGACGTGTTGGAGCGTGAGACCAAGAACGGACTTTGTACTCACATCATGAGACCGGCTTAGCCGTCCGAGTCCATCCCAGGGAAAGGCCATTGTACATGACTGAACACTGGGAATCCATGTGAATGACGGAAGTGATGAGAAGAAGAGGTGGCTGTTTCGTGACAGTGTGGTCTCGATGATTCGTAAGATGGCGAATAATCGTCCATCTTGACAATAACCCACGGACGGAACGCCACCTATCAGAATTTTCATGCCCAACCCGTGGATGTGTCTGGCCTCTGTGTGGTTCGAATATCCTAAGCAATGGTACACTTCGTATTACTGGGGAGAATGACCAAAGATGGTGTTCTCACCATGGGGTTGTCAAGAAAACTCCAACCGACGGTCTGGGTCAATGCTGTGCTGACGCTTAGCAGCCATTGGCAGCCTTTCATAGATGGTTTCGTGTGGCTTTTCTGTCGGAGGCGGCTTATTGTCACTGGCATCAACAAGGATAACTTTCTGTATTCCGAATCACCATGACCCAACTTGCAAGCGATGTCTCGTCGGGCCTTTATCAACTCTTCGGTATCATCAAGCGATCAAGCGACGTTCTAGTGATGGTGTTGAAGTGATTTCTGGCAACACCCTAGGGATAAGAATGCCGATGATTCGAAGAATCGCTCTAGTTGGCCATTCCATCCCAAAATGGAAAGCATTGGTGTACTTTGAGTTATGCTGGCACAGGGACGCGTCGCCCGTTAGGGTGTAACAAAGTCGGCATCGCCCATGGGAGTGTTGTAACATCAGCATTACTCAAACCGCAACAGCGACAGTAGCCGGTGAATTGTTCATGACTTGACTTGTGGGATCAAGTTGGCTGAAGAGACGAGAAAGATTCCACTGAAGCACAGGCTGCGTTTGAAGCCTGATGGTACCAGTTCGGAGTGGATATGCGGTGACCATTGCGCTTGTCTTTGAGATTCAGGTTCCCTGAAGCTTGGTAGGATCTAGAAAGATGCCGGTCCATTGAGCTTTGGGACGGCCAGGAGAAAATCATATTGCATGCTGGCAGCTGCATGAGCTAGGAGGCGTTATGTGTGGTTGAGTGCGCTGTACTAAAATCGTCCGATATCCATACCGTCGTGGTGTTCTCCAGGTCTTAGTGGCCAATCTCGACGTTGAAGGGTCAATTGACTCAGTTCGTCTGATGATGGGACCAGCCGGAGGGTTCCGATAACCATTTGGTACGATGTTTGCTGTTTGTGTGAAAGAGGTGATGGGAAAGTTGGACCCTCTTCTGGGTGATGTTGATGTCGTTATTGACGGATTGCTCCTTCTCTGTTGGGGAGCTCACACGTGGCTCGCTCTCACGGCCACACCTACCAACTGTTAGCTATCTCTGAACATTGAACATAAGGTATTGCTTCCAAAGCCTGTTGTGAAGATATCTGCGCTTGAGAACGGTAGCAACATGGATTTATCTCAAACAAAACGTAGCAAAGTTTGGGAAGATATTAGTAGTCATCACCCGCATCTTTGCGCCCTTGTCATCTCACCTATTCCCATGTTAGCCTCAGTCTCATATAGCCACGCTAGGGAGGACCAGATGAGAGCCCACCGCCGATCCATCTTACCCATGGTGGATCAAAATGTAAACACTTGAAGGTTCCTTCTCGCCAAACCCTTCACTTGCTTGTTTTGTCTTGACCCAAACAGGTCTATATAAACCGCAAGATATCTGGGCTTCCCATCTCTTACCCTTCCTCTCCTCCCTCACCACCACCAACTACCCATAACGCTCACTTAACTTCCAGTTTTGGTTGACGCCGGTCCTTTACAGACCACTTTTTGGTGATATTTTGGATCCAGATATCACTTAACCCATTCCCATTATCAACGTGAAGATGGCTTCACTTTTTACTGCTACCACCTCGGAGCGAGCAGCCGAAGACACCGATTGTTCTACGGACGTCAGCCCGGAGGTGTCATCCATGGATAGAGAACCTGAGGGTGGACTCATTGTTCCTGCTCTCAACCTATCCGAGTCCTCCATCGAAGATGCATGCCAGGAGTCAACTATCGCTATGGACGTCAGCCTGGTCATGCTACCGGTGGACGCTGCCGATGTTCCTCTGCCAGACGAGGAAAGTGATCGGGATGAGTTCGAGGTCAGTATCTACCCATCCATAGCGACCACCTCCTGTGCTAAAATCCTTGTTTAGACGTCACCAAATGCCGAAGAGAATGAGACCAGCATGAGAGTGGAGGTTGTCAAGCGTCCAAACAACAAACCGGCAGACGTGGACACTGTCGACCGGGGTCAAGATGACGACCAATCCGATAATTCCGACCATCATGACATGAGCTTGACATCGGCGTCTTCAGCGCCAAGCTCTCCCAAGACGCCAAACAGACAAGAAGAATCTCAAACCGACGATGAGGGCCTCCATGACACTAGCACATCGTCCATGCCGTCCATTGGAAGCTCCCCAAAGACGCCGAAGAACGAAACGTCATCAAGCGACCCTTTCGTTCTGGAAGATCCAACCAAGGGTCTCTCCTTGGACAACCTTGATCTCAAATCTCCGAATTGGATGGAGTACTTCACCAACCTTCTCAAGAAAATCGAACATATCAAGCCAAACACAAAAGAGATCTTGGAGCCTAGTACCGTCAAATTTGGTGATGAAGAAGGGGAGTACCAAGGACCGATCATTGCCTTGCCAGACACGCCCGACTACCACCCATACTCCAGCAATTTCCAGATACGCCTATCCAAATATGGAGGCTTTGGAACCTTCGCGACTCGAGACCTCAAGCTAGGAGAGGTCATTCTTATCGAAAAGCCCCTCTTGAAGTCAAGGCATGTCGATTTCTACTCCGACTTTCGGGAGCTCTCGGAGGACGACCAGCAAGCCTTTATGCAATTGTATACCCCCCCTGGTGATTACTTGAGTCGCGACGGAAGCGACTACAACCACATCAGGGCGATCCTAAAGGCAAACTCCTTTGCCATTCCCCCTTACGACTTCGGCATCATAGGCGTGTACAACGCCGCATCGAGACTCAACCACGCTTGCTCATGGGTTGCGAATGTCGATTACACATTCGACGCCAACAACTCTGATGCGATCGTGCTGAACGTTAGCAAGCTGGTGAAAGCTGGTTCGGAGCTGTTCATCAGCTACGGTGGAAGTCCGCTGTCGCTCTATGAGCGGTACGGGTTCCGGTGTTGCTGCGGAGGGTGTAAGGGTGTATCCGATCAACACCTCACGATCTTGAAGAAAATCAAAAATGGCGAGATATCCAGGAGGGAATTGGAATGGATATGACGGGGAACCCGGAGATGAAGATGCTCTGTGGGCTGGTCGTCTTGGAGGTTTGGACAGCAGGGCTATACCCTAACCCTGCAGTTTATGGTGGATGTTTTCCATCATCATTTGCTCGCGGTCGGCAATGATCTTCGCTATGGTGGTTACACAGCGTCGATTATTGACAGGAGGTACCGCATTCTTTGCTCAGGGAAGGATGAAAAGCATATCTTGGGCATTGTTACACAACCTCCATCTTTATCTGGGAATCAATCAGCAACGATATCCTTGTTCAAGGAGCAAGTGGTGGAGGTATCGAGGGATTGGGCTTAACTGGTTTGTAGTTCACTTAGCTGCGCATGAGGTGCTCTAGAATGAACGCAGTTTTCCAATTGATAAGTCCATGGTGCTTTGCTATTGTGAATCTGTGCGTACTGTGGTGGGCGATGGTGTTAATGTCTGCGCTCGCGGGGGGTTTCATCAGGTCGATAGGTGTTCACAAGTCTCCAAGTTGGCGTGATGTGAACCGTCCCCGTTCCGTGACAGAGGTGATCATGATTGAGAGAAGTGGTTGAATGCGGCAGTCAGATGTCAAACAGAGTGTCCAATGAAGTCAACCTAAAAGAAAGCAGATGATCTCCAGGTGGTGTGGGTCGCCGTCATAGGGCTGCTGCCCCTGCCGCCGTTTTTCTGGGGGCGCACGAGCCCTCTCCAACATCAGGCCAGGGGGCCCAACCCACGACCACGGGTCCCCGGGATTGGGCAATTGCTAGGGATCCAATTGGCGATGTTATCGACCGCTGATCAATGCGATAAGCTCTCTCACCGCACTCGCTACGGCGCCGAGTCACTCCCATCACCACTCGCGTCTTTTTTTGCGGTTTAGCCTTGTCTCTTCCCCTCCTTCCCCTCTTTAAGTCGCGAGAAATTACTGTGGACGTGGACGCCCGAGTATTGTACGATAACTTAACACACAAGGAACCAAGTGTTGACGGTAATGCATCGACACGTCTGTCTCCACGAGCCAACGCATAAACCACCATCTTCAACCTCCACTTGATCTCGATCAGGCACCGAGCTACCAGAAAATAATACTAGTCCGTTGGGCACCACAACCTCGAGTTGGGGCAGGACTCGGGAACGAAACGATCACCAGACCCGAAAACCAAGAAACGACTATCACGACAACGACTATCACGACAACGACTATCAATCCGCTAAACCCGCAATTCTAATGGGCATATTCGGTTTCTTCTCCAAACCCGATCAAGACCCTCTCGAAGCCCACCTAAACGAGTACCACCGCCGACAACGGCCTGGACCCACCCCTCATCGACAGTGGACGAGCAGCGGCGGTGTCCCAACCCGGAGCAATCCATCCTCTCGGCCCCCTTCCCGTAGCGCTTCCCGGTTCGGTCGCTCCCGCAAGGCCTGTCATGCCCACAGCAACAGCAATGGCAGCAACAAGGGCCCGTCAACCGCGTCGATAGCCGCCGCGCTAGCTGCCCAGCAAACGGGTCCACTGCCGAATTTCTTCTCGTTCGAACAGGGCTCCGAGCGCGCTCAGGGTCGGTACCAGAATGAGTCAACTCCTTTGCTTGGGAGGTTCCGGGCCATGCCTGGCGGGCCTGGTAGGAGGCGGGAGTCGGACGACCACCAGGGACTGTTGACGGCTGGGTGGAGGGGGAGCGTGCATGTGGGCTATGGCGCCTTGATGGCCGCTGCGGCGGAGGGGGATGAGGAGTACGACGACAGTGGGAGCGAGGATGAAGACGACAGCGAGGGCGATGGGATGCTGGACTCCGGATTCCTCGGCGCAGGCACGCTACATGGATCGACATTAACGAGGAGGGTGATGATAAAAAAGCTGAACAGGGCTCGCAGGAGGCTTTATTACACCTGGGTAGACCCGAAGGCTTCTGTGATCAGGAGGGTGGTAGAGCATTGGTGGAGCCGATGGTTTGTCCTGGTAGTATTACCGGCCATTTTGGTAAGTTGGCAGAGTGCGAATCGCTCCGTGAGCCCCAGCGATGTGCTGACAAAAGATGTGTAGGCTGTTGCGTGGTGCGCGATACCCATCCCACAATACCCAATACCGGACTACGACGACGGGCGCGACCCGACAACTCCACCGACAGTACCAGGCGAACAACCAGGGCGCAGAACTCCCGGCCACGGAGCGGCGCGAGTGCAGGTCAACTTCTGGTTCTTCCTCTTCGTCTACTATAGCTTCTACAACTTGACGGCCCTAATATGGATCACAAAAATCTTCAACCTCTACAGTCTGAACTGGTGGCCACAGTCTCTCGGGTTTCCCCTTACCGTCTTCACGATCGGCGTCATCTCGCTAGCAGCACCTATACCGCTCTACCTCATCCCCGAACTGCGGTGGCTGATTGTTCACAACACAGCATGGATTAGCTGGACCTTCGTCATTATGGCCATGCCCGTCACCATCGCTTTCTGCATCCTCATGACTAACGAGCGTCACCTCAAGCTACGACATTCTCTTTCCGAAACTCAGCGTATATTCACATCATCGTGGTGGGCCGGCGAGTCCGGAAACAACAGCCGCCGTGAATCGACGCGGCGGGCCGACACCGGGCTGGACGCCGCTGAGTTTGGGTTTGACGAGGGCCTCAACCGGAGGCCTTCGGTACCCGTCCGAATAAGGCGCAGATGGCTCCCGGCGAGCTTTGTCCGCTTCGTGTGGTTCTGCCTGGCCCTCTCAATCGGCCTTCTTGCCTATGTGATAGGAGAGGCGTATGCCGAGATTTACCTGCGTACGCTTCCGCATAACAACTTGGAGACCATTGTCTATGTCTATGGATGGGTATCGACCGTGTATCTTCTCGACGGGCTGACGGGTTGGATTTTGGGTGGCAGCGAGGGCGAGAGAGTCGGAAGCTATCCGTTAAGCTTTATCTTCAAGCTGTTAGTAGCCATCTCCTGCCCCTGACTTTGATCAACCCTCGCTAACCTCCCAACCCTTACACAGCTACTTCATGCTAACCTACCAAACCTACGTCCGCGCCCTATACGCTCGCCTCCGCTCTCCAGAACAGTTCGTGATGCTTCAAGTCCTCTCCTCCACGACCCTGATCATCGTCACACCCATCCTCATGTCCCGCCCCGTCCATTGGTTCCTGACCATCACCAACCTCAGCGGCCAATCCTACGGCTCCTACCAGAAGATCTGCATCCGCAACGTCTTCATCCGCTTCGTCGCCGAAAACGCATCCATGCTCGCCTTCTTGGGGAGCGTTGTCATCCTGCACTTCGGCCCGAACAAGGACGTGTACCCCTACTTTGCCTTTGACGGCGAGCCGGACGACACCTCAGACTTCGACTTTGGTCTGACATTCTATGCCTCAAGCATAACCTGGGCGTGCGAGTTGGCGGCGGGATTCATCGTGTCGGGTCTGATTAGGCTTATCTATGGCGTCAATGTTGTGACGGAGGGAAAACTTGATTTTGCGGTATGGCCCGAGTTGCTGCCGACCAGTGTGGCGGTGGTGTTGCATGTGTTGCAGAATATGCTGTTTTCCATTGTTCGGTTGCAGTTTCACTAAGAGCAACTGTTTGTTCGTTTTGGTCGAGTGGTTTGATACCCCTGGGATGGATGCTGGGAACGTTAAAGGAGCGGGCGACGTGTTATCGTTGAACGTGGACGTGGGAACAGTTGTTGGGTCGGTCGGTACAAGTCGCGCAAGTTTGTGTGTGCCGGAGCACACCAGTCCGGTCGGTAACACGACGCCGTTTTGGTGCTTGCGATTGCGAAGAGTCAACAGGAAAAGAAAAAGGGGAAGAAAAGTGAAGAGACGGGAAAGCGGATGGGGGGAAGTGATGCGGATGCGAAGAACTATCCATCAGTTTCCCCGCTACCACCAACTTCAGATCCCACACCAGCCATCCCTCACACATTTCATGCGCACCCACAGCACAGCACAACCACCTCACCTCGCGATCACAAAAGAAACAAACAAGGCGTCGTGTATTGGCGGCTAGCGGAAGTGACGAAGAAAGAGGAGAGAAATAACAAGCCAGTGGTGGTGGGGTTTGTCGTACGGCGTCCTTTTCAAGGAAAGAGGGGTGGGATACGCGCGGGATTTATATTAATCGGTGTAGATGCGGTTTGATTGCGTGCGCCGGCGGCCATCGTCACTGTCACAATCACAGTAGCCGTTGGGTTCATTGCGGAAAGGGGGCCCAGGACCGTTACGGGGGGCCATGGGGATGGTGGTCACACCACATCCGCGACACGGGCGACCAGAAGCACGACATACTTATAACAGCCATCGGATGCACCACACACACGAAACGCAACGAAACACACGCAACGAAACCAAACGCACGACACGACATGACGATAACCATGAATATTGGAAGAAACAAGGAGGAAAGACACGAATGAATTTCACGAAGATCATGAACACAACACTGCCATGACAGCGGCATCGCAGGACATAACGTTAGACAGTCGTCATTTGTCCAGGGAGAGCAAACCACAATCAATACGCACAAAGGACATAGAGGCATACTGGACACCGAAACAACCACGGTTGAGTGTACATAGTATACCTTGCCATACCTGCTTCGAAACCGCCCTGCTTTTTGCTTGCTACCACCCATCATTCAGTCAGAGCAGTTAGAGTTAGAGAGAGAGAGAGATACATACCACTGCAGAGTGAGATAGAGAGGTGGAAAAGGGGAATTGAATAACCTCCCCCAAGACTAGAGCAGGTCATAGAGCATTTTTCCATACCATCCACGAGTTACTGATGCCACACAATTTCCTGACTAAACAATATACTCTACCCGTGTCCGTAGTAAGATGTAACTATTGTGGGTACTTGTTCCGGGATGTGGGCAAGGATGGTGCTGTGCGGTAGGTAGGTATGTGGTGTGTATGCCATTCTATATATGCTAGGGATACGAGAAATAGGAGAGTGAGTGAGTGAGTGACGTATCAGATTGAACCATTTTTATCATATGCAGTATGGCATGGCATGGCATGCTTGGTACTAAAAACCCCCCTTGGCATGTCCGGAAACAAAACTATATTGACCTGGGTGGGCTATGCTCCTTGAGATCTCCATGTGAGGTACTTGTAGGTATAGATTGACATTCTCTGAGTCTCATAATTGTTTCATCGTTAGGTACTTCAATTCAGGTTCCTGATAAGACTACGAACTACTTAGCGACAGCTGGCAGCCCGAAACAAGGTGCAAAGGAGAAAGAGAACCTTGATGGCCAACCTCAACATCGATCTTAAGCACTTTTCTCATCGATGTGTTTCCGTCATGCTCCTGACTCATCTTCCTTTTTAGGTAAGGTACTCCAGTCGGCAGGCGTATACTCTGCTCCTACCCAGTTACTACGTTACCGAGTACATTTCCTTCCCTCTTCTCTTATTCTGAGATTTTCTCTTCCTTTCTTTGTCTTATCTTTTCTTTTCTCTTCCTTTCTTTGTCTTATCTCTTCTTTTCTCTTCCTTTCTTTGTCTTATCTCTTCTTTTCTATTCTTTTTCCCTTTTTTTTTTTTTTTTTTTTTTTTTTTTTTCCCTCTCCTATTCTTTTCTTTTCATCTCTTTCTTTCTCTCTACTGTCATTTTCTGTGTGTATTTTTTTTCACGCTCTCCTTTCTCAAAACATCCATATAATATGAGACGCCCGTCATTGAAGCCCACAGGATGCCCAAAAGTTAGCTAAACCTGGCCGAACTTGCCAATCAGCCCAGGTACAAGAGGCTGCCGGGGAACGCAAAGCATACAGACGTGCTTGCTTGCTTTTGCTTGTCTTATACATAGTAAGGCTCGAGGCATCCGTCGACGTGCAGTGAAAAGCACACTTTCCGCAATGTCATGCAGTGTAATCCTACCAAGCAGCATGTGGGGATCGTGTGTGTATGCCAAGACGGTCCGGACCTGGAATGCGAAGGGTACGTACAAGGGGGAAGGAGGGTGGAAGGGGTGTGTGCATGGTGGAGGAGTGGTGGTGCTGTACTTTATGCAGGTGTTTCCAAACATATTTGATATCTATCAGCTTAATGTTGATACCCAGCTAGTGTCAAAGGAGGCAGTACGAGAAGCTTGCATGACTCTCCGTGGGTGATTGGAGAGGATATTGTAATCACCGTTAAACGAAACGGATCAAAGAGCAGGATTTGATATCTGCTGGTCAGCCAGAGATAGCGAAATGCCAGACACAGATAGGAAGGTCAACGCGGGACGGCTTCTGGCGGCTGAGGAGGACATGCCATGTTTGGTTGTGTATAGGAGCATCGAATATAGCCTATAGATCACCTACCTCTAGGGGAGGCGTGGACAGATTAAACGAGCAAAGCCATGGTCTGCAAAGTGGTGTGCTGGCGGCTTTATGATTTTCTGCCCAGCCTTATGACTGAACGTCTCTACCCATTCCCCTTGATCTGCAACGTCAAAACCCGGTAATTCGGGTAAATCGGTATGGCATAGCCGGACTGAGCGAGTTTGATGTTTGGTTCCGAAATGGCGGCGTAAGGATAACCATGTCTAACCTTGAAGAATATGGCTCGCTCGGGGAGTCCTGGGGAAGAGGATTTGGTTCGGATGGAGGTTAGTAAAGTCAATAGTGTACGCCTCGGCGGGGATCTCGAAGAGGGATCTCAAGGGGTGACGGCGTGGATCGGAAGGCCACGAGGAGGTGAACGTGTGGCGGTCAGGATGTCTTTTGCTGGGTCGGGTATCGCTCATCCCGCAGGCTAATCAGGGGTTACCGGCAGGAGTCCTGGGGCTACCGGCCTTCTAGAAATCTTGGCTATGCTTGGCCCCGCTTGTGGAAAAGAGCGCCATGTCCGTGTCCGTAGTGTCGAGCGAAGTGTCGAGCAAGTGTCGCGGGTGTTGGAGAGAATTGCCCATTGTCATCTCCTCTGCTCGTATCTTCTTTTTGGATCGTCCTGCATGAGAACTTGTTGGTTATGTTGGCCAATGGAGATAGCACGGTAATTCGAGACTGTGTGACTAACAACACAAGGCGGCTACGGGAGCCTTTGTGTGTGGTGTGCTATCAATCTAAATGAGTAAAAAAGAAATAACGGTCCCGTGGGGTTTGGAGATCACGTAAGGTGGAAAGTGGAAATGTGAGACTGGAACCTCGGGAGCTCTCACCCCGCAGCCACGACATGACTGTAGGCCAGTGAGAGGGCAATGTTGAGGCATCTTGTCGTCGATAGGATGTCGCACGATTCATGAACAGAGAAAGAAGGCGTTGCGGTCGTTGCAGACCGAACGGAGAGGGCTCGTTGCCATGCAGCTGCTGTACAGGGATGGTACATGATGCAGTGCAAGGTACACTTTGCAGTAGCCTAGACTAGTGTCATTGCTTGGATGGTGAATGTTGAGAGGTAAAAATCCGAATGGCCTCAAATCCTGCTCGAGATGATGGCTGCCTGCTGCTCGTTGCCCTTTCCTTGTTTCGTGAGTTGCACTTGTATCCGTTTTCATCATTGATGGATGTCCAGGAAGGAGCGTGGATGGGAATTTGGATTGTCAAGACGAAAAGCACATGCACAGGCAGGTGGGGTTGGACTTTTTAGTTTTCTTAGCCCCACAGATATCTACAACTCTACCCCACCTTTTCAGCGAGCAAGGTCCCCCAATCGGCCAATGCCCCTCGCTGGTTACATGGACTCAGGGCAGGACGGGACGTGAGCCCCTCTTCATCGAGCTCATTCACAAGAGAGACACTCTACACCACATTACGCCCACCTGCCATTTCCGAGGACCATCATTTGCTGACAGTCTACTCATCATATTCCGAATTCGTTGGCCCGCTCTACGTGATTGGGCGGCACGTCAACACCAGCTTACGTTGATAAGATGATGAAGTCGTCTCCATCAGAGTCCAGAACCTCGACACTGCGCAACACATCCAAGGGGTAATCCACCTTCTGTATGCCCAATGCCAGGTACGTTCGGCTATATGTCGCCATCGTTCATCAAGCTGTTACGCTGCCGGTTTTACAACGTCTCGGTGATATGGCTCCGTGATACCTATGGCTGATGCCGCTGACCGTTAGGCGATACTGCGATATCAGCCATTTAGACGACCATTGAGGGTCTCACCGACTCCACTCTGCGACGGGCCCCGGGGGGTGCCGCGGCTCCATCTGACTCTTTCCGGCAACGGACCCGCCCGTTTTACCATCTTTTTTTTTCACTGCGATCGCCGTCGTGCGTGTTTGCGATTTGCGCCCGCCTGTTCTACTGGTCGATAATTGGATCGCCTTCGCTTCCGCGCCGTGTCCGTTTTTTTCTCTCTCTTTTCCCTTTTTCACACCGCTCGCCATTCTTGTGAATCTTGTACGTACAGTCCGCTCACAGCAGTTCGGAGTCCCCTCGGTAGGTCCAGACAATCCCGTCTATTCTATTCACACCCACAGCAGCACGCATACCCAGCACACACCAGCACGCACCAAGACGAACACCCCACTCGTCTCGTCCCCGGCTCGTGTCTGCTGCAGCCCGCCCTATCATTATCACTCCTTACATACACCCTTGAGCTTCACCCCCCCAACACTTCGGTCCTTTCCCGCGGCCGGAATCTAGGTGGCCTGTCACCGCAGCGCGCAGCTTGCCATTAGGAGAAGTTCTTGTCTGACACCAACCGAACCCTTAGGTTGCTTTAGCCAGCCCTCCTTTATATCCCACATAGATAGGCGCGAGCCGTCCAGAACCTCTTTCCCTCTTTTTCTCTCTTCTCTCTCTCATCATGAGCGCCAACGCCGAATCTGCCCCCCAAGTGGCAGACTTTGTTACCCTGACCCAGGACAACACCGCCAACACGCAATCCACCGTCAACCAAGATGCCTCGGGACGCAAGCCCTCCTCCCCCGCCGCCGCCGCCGCCGAACTCGCCAGTACAAAGGTAAAGCTGATGGCCGCCTTGAAGTCGTTCCGCGATTTCCCTATCCCCGGCATCAACTTTATCGATATCCTCCCCCTCTTCCAGGACGTCAAGACCCACGAGGCTCTCCTCGTCGCTCTCCAGCTCCAGATCGAGCTCTCCCAGCAGAAGCCCGATGTCATTGTCGGTCTCGATGCCCGCGGCTTCCTTTTCGGCCCCTCTCTCGCCTTGAGAATGGGCGCTAGCTTCGTCCCCGTCCGCAAGCAGGGCAAGATGCCCGGTCCCTGCGTCACTGCCGCCTACGAGAAGGAGTACGGCACCGACTTCTTCCAGATGCAGGAGGGCGCCATCAAGCCCGGCCAGAAGGTTCTTATCGTTGACGATATCATTGCTACTGGTAAGCATTATGCGCCCACCTTTCCTTTCTTGGCAATTTTTTTGCCCTATCACGCCATATCTCATCTCAGCGATGCGCTGGATCTTGGCCTTGCCCAATTGGCATACTTGCAGTTCAATTCGGCTAACAACAACTTTTACAGGTGGCTCTGCTGCTGCCGCTGGCGAGCTTGTCCAGAAGCTCGGTGGTGAGACGATCGGTTATCTCTTCATCCTCGAGATCGCTTTCCTCAAGGGCCGTGAGAAGCTCGGCGGTGTTCCCGTCACCACTCTTCTCGAGACCGATGAGTAAACTCAAAAAACAACATCGAATTCATCTAGACCTGCATATACGTCCAAAATTGCGCCACCGTTATACCAATGTCTTATATCGCCGGCCATATACACCAGTTAAACATCGGCCGCTCAAGATCTACGACTCCTTTCGCAATTCTCGCTATCAATATGCGCCTTTACGACCCAGGATTTGGATTTTAACGGGGAAGAAGCATAAACGATACGGACCCGACGGTTGCGACCTGAACAACAAAGGAACACTGGGGCGACGGCAAGCCAACGGAGAGATACAATTAGGTTCTGCTCTCAGTTGCCAATCAAACAAAAGTTGGGACACGAAGGATTGGGGACTTTGGTTCTGCATTTACCTGGCGTTCGGGCGCGTTACAAAAAAGTGGGGTTCAATGGAAGGTATTCATGGTTAAAAGCCAACCTTCGGCCGTGAGAGAGGAGGATGCCATTGAGTAAAACAAACTGTCTATTTTCTTTGGTTGCATGATAGACCGTTGGCTTCACGTCGAGGAAGTGAGGATGAAACTATTGCAGTGTTGCAACAATCACCTACCATTGCCTAGGCCCTTTCGTTCGCTACGAAGTATGGCCGTCTCGCTACTTGTTTCTGTGCTAAGAGCCACATTATACCCGAATGTTTGAAACACGCAAAGCTTATCGCAACGTTTTCACTGGGACATGTCTACAGGGCGCAAATGCAGGAACACCACAGCAAGGACACTCGGCAGTTACAACAGTACAACACTGCGGCTTTTTTTCCTTTGAGGGTATGACTGCAGGATCGCCATTGACAACAACAACAACCTGCGCGATGACAACTCTGTATTGACCTCAACAAAAAAACAAGAATCTTAAAACCTTGATGAAACACCAATCGGTCGTCGTCATAGCAACACTTGGGACCATCTGATTGGCTGATTCCCCGATTTCAACAAAATGTCGAACAGATTATCAAGCATCAACTGCAAGTCATCGCAATACACGACATCAACACCTTGCGCCTTTTCGGTGAACCATCAATTGACGCTAGACCCAGCTGGCCCTTGTCAACAAACAACAACGGAGTGTGAGTTGTAGGTATACAGGTATGTAGCTATCGTCACCACAAAACCCCGACACTTTCTCCAAAGAAAAGGGGTCCGTCCAGGCCATGTACAAGCGCAAAGTGTACCTGCATCTGTTCCCCATCGGAGTTTCTACGCATCAAGGGGCGTGTGCATATGCCATACGCTACACCCTGCTTTTCATCCGTACTCCGTTTCGACGTTCCATATCCACTCGTCCGATGTCGGGGTCCGCGGCCGGGCCAAAGCAGAAGGGCCGGCCGGGATGAGAACGCAGTGTGGAAATGTAATGTCGATGCAACTGCCATCCCACATATATCCACCTTGGACACAGAAGGATGAGTTTTAGTGCCCTCCGTGCATCGGCATTTGCCTCTCTATCCGCTTCTTTTTTGAACATTGGGACGCAGCGGGACGCGGAGTGCCATACATATGTGAACTCTACTGCGTAAAGGGGAGTCCCTGCTAGAAGTCTGCATGCAGGAGAGGAGGTACCTGCGAATAAATGGGTTTGTGTTCTGCGGGTGTGATGGAACCTCCGCATCCGTATCCCCATCCCCATATAAGACAAGACTATACTTGCAAGACTAACAAAATGGCCTGGGAGGAGAGAAGGGTATGTATCGCAGATGAGGGTAAAGGAGGGGGTTCACTCGGCTAACGAAACTTGCAAAACAACGTAAGGAACCTGAGAATGGCGTAGATGGACAGTGATTATTAGTTCGTGTGATATATACAGAAATGACGCCAAAAGATATTAACAAAGACGTTGGCATGAAAAGCAACCAAGGAACAAAAACAACTCTGTATGATGTACTGCAATAGAAAGTCTATACAATCGCTTCTTTCTCGAAACCACCCACCCCCTTTTTAAACATGCTCTGCTCTCAAACGCTGTTATATGCAAATAATCTTTAGCTAATTATCACTCACTCCCTCAACTCGCTATAAAAACCCCAACTCTCCAATCCCATCATCTTCGACACACGTCCCCTTCTCTTCACCCCCCTCCTCCTCCCCCCCCCCCCCCTCTCTCCAAATCAAGCAACCCCCCCAGCATCCCCCTCATCCACAATCACATTCCTCACCCTCCTCCCCTGTGACTCCAAAAACCACCTCCTCCCCACCGCCACCCCCTTCGCCCTTTTCAGCGTCTCATACGTCATCTCCCCGCCTCCAACCATAATCATCGGAATCGGATTCCTTCTCACTAATCCACCGGGAGTCTTTTGTACCTGATCCAATAACGGCCTCGCCAGTCCTCCCCCTACTCCTTGGGTATTGTAGGTTTGACCAGAGTAGTAAGCAGCATACGAAGCATCTTCGTCGTCTCCGTCTGATACTACTACTACTAATTGTAAAGAGGTGGGAGAGGGGGGGAAGGCCGGGATGTTGGCGAGTTTTTCGGAGAAGGAACAGCCGCCGCGGCGGAGGAGGAGGATTTGGTGGGTGCGCGGGATGGAGTCGTCTAGTGGCGGCTTCTGGTTCTCGGAATCGGAATCGTTAGGGGAGGAAGCGGAACAGAGCTGCCCGGCGGCGTAGATGGTGGTGTAGTGGATCATGTCGCGGGGGACGGGGCCGAAGGCCGGGAGGAGTCGAGGGTGAGCAGGATTGTTGGCGATGTAAGGGGATGATGGGGGAGGCGGAGGAGGAGGGAGAGGGGCAGCGCCGATGCCGGTGGCGGTTACGGCGGTGGAGTTTAGGAAGACGTTGAACGGATATTTGATGCGTTTGGTGGTCCCATGGATGGATGAGATGGACGGGATGGAGGGGAGGATGGAGGGCAGAGCGGTGACGGCTGCTTCGAGGGGGATGCCGTGGAGGAGGTCGTCGAGGGAGGCGGCGAGGTTGGCGAGGAGGGATTTGACGTAGGAGCCGAGGGAGGAGGAGGCGGGTTCTTCCGAGGTGGTGTTGGCTGTTTCTATTTGTTGTTCGGACACCTCATCCTCTTGCTCCTTCTCTTGGGAAACGTCATTATCGTCAGTCTTGTTGCCGCTCTCGGGTTGAAGCTGCTCCTTATCCTTGTCGGCCTCATCCTGGCCGAGGTCCACATGGTGCAGATGCACGAACTTGACGTTAACAGGGTCGCGAACGAGGTTAAACCGCGGGTCGGACACCTCGCCTAGGATGGCTCGGTTCATAACGATGAACTCATCCCGGCCGAGAAGAACGCCGTTCACCTTGCTAACACGCCATTCGCCGTCCGAATCCTCCTCCTGCCTCATGGTCAGCCTCAGGCCGGAAAGGGTCTGGACCCGGATCCGATCCATGGTGAGGCGCTCGAGATTCTGCGTGCCTATCAGGTAGTTGAAGGCGCTGCCGCCAATGAGTTCTTGCGCGTTGGAGGAGAACTCGAGCAGCATCTCGACCGGCTGGTTGATTTTGCGGCATGTTGCGTTTTGGGGAATCATTTCTGGTGGGAGAGACCAGGGGAAAGGCGTGAACCGGTCCAATTCGGTTTCAGGCTTCCTGGAAGATGTATGTTGACCGGAAGGCTTACTACCCTCCGCTGGGAGTCCTAGACGGTTCTTTGGCTGCAACAAGTGCAGGTCTAACATCTTTGCGGCGTGGAAGATGTCGTCTCTGGCAGCGATGACCGAACCTGTGAGAGGAGTGATAGAAGGCGGTGCCGGGCAAGTGTTGGTATAGGCAGGGTCATGGTACACTATCAATTCCTTGTGACCAGACGTTCTTGATCGGACCGATGACTTCGCCTTTGGCAAGATGAGCGGATGGCCCTCTGTGGTAAACACAAAGGCAGCATCCAGCTTGTTTAGGGGATGCGACTCGTCAAACAACAGATACAGATACTGCGTGGTCTCGCCAAGGAAGAAGCTTTCCATGCGATCGCTCTTCTCGCCGGTTAACACATTCTGAAGGCCTGCCCAGCCACATTGCGTAGTGCATCGCCTTTGAATATCTCTCATAACCATCTCGCCAACATAAAGATACCAGGGGTCCTTGGTAGCTTGGTATATGTAGTAGGTCGACTCGATGAACTCGGGTCGTAATGGCCACCAGCCGAGACCGCCCTCGATGTCTTTGTGTGTAATGGACCAACGTTCGGGCAGCGCTGCATATCGCGCCCATATGGCAGTGTAGAGCAAGCTCGTTTCAATGGCCTCTTCAACCTCACCAGCGAGGACGAGCAGACCAGCGTAGAAAGCACCTAGGCTGTCTACCCAGTTAGTAGCCAGTGAGCCTGTCCATAAGTTGACGTTCTCATAGTGCGGGTGATCTCTGTCGCTATAAAGATGGCGTTTAATAGCAGCGTGGGCATGATGCCACGCCTGGAGGAAGGCATCGGGGGAGTTCTCAACATCAGTAAGTGGAGCAAAGAGAGTATTGGGGTCCAACCAGTCGTCCTTCGGTTTTGGCTCGACGGCTGTCCGGTTTGGAAGTTCGTGCCCAGAAAGCAAGATGTGCGACTTGAGTGCGTACTCAAAAAAGCTGTCGGCGCCAGCACCGACAACGGAATAAGGGCCTACCCAATGGCCTTGTTCAGCATCGACGCCTGCGCCGAGGAGGCCGATGTGGCTCTTCCGATACCACACTGCCCAGAAGGCTCGCTTTGCAAGCTGTTCGAACCGCGGATCACCTGTCAAGCGACTGAGAACAGTGAATTCGAGAACAAGCGACCCGGCGCCAGCACTGCATGTCTCGGTGATCTCAGGAGGCCCATCAACTATGTGGTCCCCGGAAGACGTCTCATGCAGTGGCGAATTCTTGTAAAAGGGGATACCATGGCGCAGATTGACACGCGGATAAGGCATTCCCGTCTTCGTATAGAAGGCCGGAAGAATCCTTGTCCCAAGATCAAGCGCCAACCGAAGCAACTGGCCGTCGTAGATCAAGCCATTCGGCCAGTGAATGGGCGGAGGGCTCAGAGGATCATCCTCATGACCAAGAGGTTCATATCCATTGATCGGTAGTGCGCCAACAGCAAACAAATGGGCACTGAGAAGGCCGCCTACGCCACGAATGACCGTCTCGAAAACCTGAACCTTGCTATCGACATCGAAGCCTCTAGCGCGCAGGCCTTGACCAGAAGGACCGGGACGGCCATCGCCATACTGCTCGACCAAGGCGGCAACACCATCCTGGAAGTCACGCAAGGCTTTCGGTCCCGTGCCGCGGTCATCTGGCGGGGCTGAGGCAAAGATGGCCAGCGTAGACAGAGTGTCTATCAGAGTAAGGGAGTAGTTACCCAAGACATCGTTCACCTCGACGTTCCCTGGGTTCTTAGCATCCCGGGTCAGAGGGGCACAAGTAACGGGCCGGAGCTAACAAGGCTGAGTTAGCTTGGAGTTACTGAAGCGAGTTGGCCTTGAGATAGTGAGACCTTGATAGTGATGAATGATGGTGGGCCATACCTCGTCCTCGGGGAAGGCGATGCGCATGTAGTTGTCGAAGCCATGGTAGAACATGTCGACCACCTCGCGGCGGAGGTCAGCCACGCGACTGGGGCGCATTGCCCCAGCACTGGGCAACAGAGCCACAAAGGCCAACAAGGCCAGAGCAAGGAGCCATGGTGATGACCGAGGCCGGGACCGGGACCGAATATGTGGCCGGAGACGGGGCTGGAGTGGTTCCCGGGTCATGTTACGATGCGGCCGGAGTCCGGAAGTGTGGCTGTGAACTTGACAAGTTGTCAGAGTTGGACCCCTCCACTTGGACGGTGATGGCTGCCAGGCCCAGCAGATCACCTAGGCGGGTGGCTGAGGAACGCGACTGAAGACTGCATAGGTGTCCAATACGGTGCTCCGTGTGGAAGCGGTGGGTGATTGCTCGGTGAAAGCGTGGAATGACCGCGGAGGTTTGCAATGGTGAATGTGTGTAGCATGCAATGCCGGGTAGGTGAATGATGCCACTTAACCAATGCTGCAAGGTGTAATCAAGGTGTCACGGTGTAACTGTGGCTGATGCGTTTGCGGGTATTGACGTTACATTACAACCAAAAGGCGGCCCGTGGCAGGTGTCAAGCACGACATTTGGGCCCACTTATCAGCGGTTGTTTGCTCCACTAACTCCGGTCCGGCGCGGCCGCTGGAGGTCAAAATCGGTCCCCACCACCCCGACTTCTTCACTCCGTCCCGCCGACCAATGGTGTCTCAACACTCACTCCAATTCATCACATCAAAAATGGACTCTTCGATGCCAATGGCTCACCATGAAGAAAAATTCACACACACACACACCATATCTCCTTCTATTTTCGATCTTCGCTTCTTGACCCAAACGAATTCCCGGGTACGGTGCGCCTTTGCTGCCACTGCCTCGCCCACGCGCAATGCGGGTTACTTATCATCCGTCATCATCGAACCACTTATCCCATCGCGGTTTCCATCCGGCCATCCAGTTCAATGTCGCATTGCAAAATAAAGATGCCACGATTGCGGCTGCCTTCAGCCATGTAACCCGGCGTGTTAATCTCGCCGCAGTTAACGTCACCGATTTTCTGTCTCGACGCCCCGTTCGTATCACTGCTTCCGCGTCGAAAACATGATCCCCGGATGATGACGATGTGGTAATGGCTTAGCGCAGTGAGATACCATCCGAAAGCTCCTTCCAGTCGCCAACCTTCAGTACACTAGGCCGTTTGAGGCGGGTGCTTTCCTCTCGACTTCGGTTCTTTCCGTACAAGCGTGTGCCATCTACTACAACACAGCGACATTCAACAGGGCACTTGCTCCTTCTATCTTCTGGTTAGTGCGTCTGCCTCTTGCAGTGCTGTTTTGACCGCAACATTGCAGCTTCAGTTACAGTGGTCTGCGTGACTCACTGGTTGTCGAACGAGATGAGAGCTCTCGACGTCACGTTTTTCGTTGGGGGCCAAAACTGTGAGTGCTCTCGGGTAATTCAGTCAAAATCAGTCCGGAAAATGAGCCGTGACAGAACCTAAGCCACTCAGGTTCCGGTCCAGTCCTCAACATTACTCCCCTCTACAAAGCAGATACGACATGGATATGACGACTTGACAGCTCCGATACACTGTTCCTGAGCTGGCCGGGGTTTACGGTTTGTCCCAGCCGCTGTGTGGCACAGCTAACCCGGCGAGCGTCACCTGTCATTAAGCTGGCCTATCGGTAAGCACTTGCTGTAATTTTGATTCGTATGTCGCTCGATATTATCTTTTTTTAGGTCCGTCGCCCGAATGCCACTCTCAGTGCACTGCAGTGTATATCAGCCTTTGTCGAAGCCCAGTCACATCTTGACATTCCGATATCCGTCGTTATACTGCTTTATACACTGAAGACCAGGCAGGCCCTTCCGGGCCGGGCTGCCCGTTTAACAAGTCTGGGGTCACACACGCGTTACAGTACAGTACGAAATTGGGGCTTTTGAATTTACCATGTGACGGGACTTGGTGGCAAGTACGACCATTGGATCCTTCCCTCATGATTGCAATCTTGGTTCAACCAGTGACAGGCATCATCGCAGCTGCCATACATCTGTCTGTCAACAACCCGGCTACCGAACACGAGTGGACTGAGCGGCGAACTTGGAAACGACAAGAGGTATCTCCTCAAAAAGTCTGTTAAGAGGGGTAGTAGAGCGATGAATTTCTACATCGATACTTAAGCACCGCCATCACTAACAATGGTACATCTTGTACAGTTGTAGTCTCAGACAGGGCAGGTAATAACGGATATGCCACTAGTGTAGTGCGGTTACACAGACCGAACATTCCTTCCTCTGGAGTCCGAGTCCTGTCGGTACAGGTATGGCCAGGTTAAGGTTAAAGAACCATTAGAATTCGATACGGCGCTTCCTGACCACCACAACCTTCAGTTCACAGGAGGGGCCAGAGCTCAACATAACGGCACAGATTCTCGAGTCTTCCCTACCTAACTAAGTATGGGTAACACATGCCTGCAACGGCCTGCACGCTCCAGCCAGTAAGTTCTGTCCAATGGGCAACTTGAAGTCCGTCGAATCAATGCCATCGATACCTGAAGGAACTTGCTGTTCTGCACATGGGGTCCAAACGAAGTATCGCCATGTACTTGGAGTACATGCAACCAATGAACTTTGTGGATGCCGTTCCCATAGGCCAGCTTACCGAACAAGATCGAGTCAATGCCCATCAATGGCGTTTCCGTGGCTTGATGAGATCAAAGGGTAGAATTTCCATCTCGACAGCTCAAGCCCACGGAAATCGACCGTACTATTCGACAGCTCTGCTTCCGCATGGCCGTTAGGACGGAATAAGGCCCTCGTATCATTCATTCAACGAACGAGTCGCCCCGACGTCGGACCCCCAACCCATGTGGCAACGTATCACCAGTCTTTTGGAAAGTTGTATGCCTAGCTCAAGGGTAGCTGCAAGGTCCTTGGACTCGGCCCTTGGGAAGACAGATGCCACCCTTTTTCGCAGCTACAAACATGGATTATTATCTACAAGCTGAAGCCGAGAGCAACCTCATAGCCTCCCATCACCCTGCTGCGGTCAACCTAATCTGCCATGTTCCCTGCGGGTCGGTGTGGATGGCTATTCCGGAGTGCGGACATGATACTCTGTGCAATGACTGTAGTCCGGAAGTGTGGGTGCCTTGCAGTCACTCAAAGGACTAACAAGCTTCATCTGACTTGCTTCCGTACCGTCACGATCGGCCCCATGGACCATGCTGTCCCGTACGGCCCGCCGCCATGGCGCTGGAACCCCGTGGGATTTTTATCTTTCCGCGGCAGTGGCTTTGAGTTTCTGAGCGCAAAAACTTTGAAAAAAGACGGTTGAAAATCACCAAATTCCGTGCAAAAAAAGACAACAAGGTCTTTAAAGATACACTCAACCTCGACATCCTGCGAGGTTCTTCCCAGTTTCCTATTCCAGACCAGTTTAATCGTCATTACGGCCCAAGAAAATTTGGGGGCCAAAAAAGCGAACGTACCCCTACCAATACGGGGCGAAGCACGGTCAATATCACCCAATTCTTCGAGATGCGACATCCCCTCCCCCCAGGTGCAGCAACAAATAACATTCCCACACTCAAGCACCTTGACAGTTGCCAAGACTCAAGCACCTTGACAGTTTCATGAGCTGACCACAACTTTTTGGCAAACGGACCATCGAAACGAAAAGAACAAGACTTCATTTGCCCATATCTCCACCAAATGAGGAGATGAAAGAAAAATGATTGTAGATTCAACATCAGCGTGCTTGAAACTATCAAGAGAGTACTCTTTCTGATGATATAATTGAATTTCTTAATTTTCGTCTTTCGTTTCGATGGTCCGTTAGTCAAAAAGTTGTGCTCAATTCTCGGGAAGTCTTGGCAACTGTCAAGGTGCTTGAGTGTGGGAACAGGGGTCCAATGGACCCATTTTCCCACTTAACCACTGCATTGCAGCTTCAAGTGGCATCACATGTGTATTAGTGAGCGAGTCACAGGACGCGAAAGAAAACAGAAGGGCATGAAGCACAAAAAGCCGCCGTCATCTAATCATGAAGTAGGTAGTATTGCTGAGCCCCGGATGCCAAGAATCTTGTTTCCTCAGTTCACGGCCAGCCGTTTGTGGAAGCTCGCGATTCGAAACTTCACTGCCTGGCACTAAACTGACACTGGGCATCAATCAATGAACCTGACCTGACCGAGGATGACGACTGAGTCCTTATCTGGTCCTGTCGCGGTCACTCTTCAACGCAACTCACTTCACCCATTCTGTCGTCCGTCTTGCTTCATTGTACGTACAGGACATAAAGTTCGAAATCGTCCCCCCAACCCCTGTCCACGACCATCAAATCAACCCCGGTCCTTGATAGACCGACCAGGGGAGAAAAAGACAACCCCAGAAATGGAAACTGTTGATCGACACAGCCCAGAACGGCGGGGGCGGGCCTCGAATCCGCCGACCCCCAGACCCCCTAGCAGGCGCCAGGCGTGCACAACCGGGGGACGGGAATGTCACGGACGGGCAGGATTGCGGAGACTCCAGATTCGGAGGACTCGAGGCGACGGGAGGGGCGGACCCTAATGACGGACTGACGACGGATCGATGCAGATTTTATCCCACATTCCGGATTATGGATTGATGTCCAATCTTGATCAGACATTGACGCTAAAAACTTAGCAGTCACTGGAGGTTTAAAGCCATATGTATCAGGCCTTCGTCACAATCTCATATGCTTCCAATTCTCAGAAAAAAGCAAAAGGAATAATTCGCAACAGGCAGGCATACAAAGTGTTCTTGACCTGCTCAGGTTAGACTTGCGAAAACGATTTATTTTGAGGTGCTGCTTCTTCCGCTGGGGTTCATTACCCCTTTATGCCAAGGAAAAATTGACAGCTGGTGGGTTTATGGGAATAAAAAACCGGAAGAGAGTTCCTGGAACTCCCTAAGCGCTCTTGTGGTAGTGTAAATAAAAAGGGAAAAAGAAAGGAACTGGGAATGAAATGGCGGGATAGGTGACGCGGGTCGGGTGCCCTGAATTTGTTGCTGTTCCCGAGCGTCAGTTCTGTGCCTGGACAGGCAGGCGTGCAGTGTACCGACATTTTGCCCGCATATTGCATTGGCATTCTCGAAAATACATGGAAGTGATTCCCCTCTGTCTTCTCGACAATATCACATCGCCATGTGTGCTATTCAGCAATCTACTATGTAAGTACTACCCCCTCATTACACCCCTCTTCATCGCATCCACCGCGTTGACTTTGACATCGACAACGACAACGACAACGACACTGACAGGAGCCCACTTCCACTTGGCGCATATCTCGCGTTACACAAAGGAAAAAAGGGGCGGCTTACTATTACGTACACTGCAGTGCTTGACTGCACTACCGCACGCAAGGTCCCGTCCTGTGCCCCGCTTGTAGGTATCACAACAACATCACTGCAGTTGACAGCGCCAAGCTCCGATGCATTTCGGAGTGCACTGTATTGCAGTGGTCTTCGACGCGATGGTGTCACTTCAACTGACTTCGAGATGGTGTGATGTATTGCCCTGAATATCAGTGGTTGAGATTTTGGCGGTTGTTGATGTGGGTGGTCAGACGGATGGGATTGTGTTTTGGGATTGTGTTTTGGGATTGTGTTTTGGGATTGTTCCCGTTTGGGAAATTTGGAGAGGAATTGGAGGGTTGTGATTGGTTGACGTTGAAGGCTCGGGGACGTGTTGTTGATTTGGGGATTTGAAAGATCAACGCCTGTCGATGGGTATCATGAAACCAAATATTGAAGCCCGGCTAACGATACAGAACTCTATGGGATATGCTTCACGCTATGAACGGATATCGCATCGTGTAGAAGTGTTCTTTGCTTAGTTCACAGTTGTTTTTGTTTGAGACTTTGGTCTTTCACTGCACTGCATGTCCAAACAACGGGGATTCAGTGAATCTGCAATCCCCAGCTATAGAGAGTTTAACATCTGGAACTCCAAACGGAATGCGTCAGATAAATTGGAAAAGCCGTTGAACACACGGCAAAGCTAGTGCCGCTCTTTCTCAAACAAACTTCCCCTCATCGCCATCAAATCGGGCTTCGTTTCAAGCCAGCCAGCCACCATGTTTGTTTGCTTGCGAGCCGCTCGGGGGCGGCAGATCTAGATGCAGCACAATGCCTTCACCTGATCTTACCCCTACTTGGAATACCTATCAGGCCTATCGACCTACCGGCTACCGAGATCGAGGGACGGTGATTGCCGTCGGAGGTTTTTGGGTTTAGCCGAGTCCAATGGTAAATATTTACACTTTTCTGCCACCTTCTTCGCTAAGGTAGTTTGTGGGGTGCAAACACATGCTGGATTACTACTTTCCGCACACGTATTCCGTCCTTGCGTTTCCGGGCTTGCAATCTTCAGCCTGTGTGTCCCTTGCTGCTTCATCGTGACGGCCACGGCTAGTCCAGCTGGCCTTTTCAGGCTTCTATGAATTTACGTGGCAGAAGCCGTCAGAGTCACGTTGTATGTGGGAGACTGCAGTGTCTGCAGTGTCCTGGGTAGGTTTTGATCAGGATCCGGTATTGTTTGAAGGCATGATTCATGCCGTGATGTGATGAGAAGATTGGTCCCGACTCCGAACCCCGAGCTCCGTCCCGTTTTCGTCCCGCACCCACCAGTCCCTGTAGGCCCGCTATGGGAAGCTCCGCGCGGTGACAGTTGAAGAGGGTTCCGGGGAATTCTGGCAGTGGAGTAAGGATATGAGCCTTGTAATTTCTTTGGGATTTTGGAACAAGCCGGGGCAATAATCCATGCATGGAATATCCCGCGACACTTATTGAACCCTGAGAAACAACGTTGAAGAGACAGTTCGTTCGGGAACAAACATTGCCAGCCAGTGAATTACCATTGGTAGGCGTGAGATTATCTCCGATCCGAGACGTACCGTGAGCTTTCCGTCGCACGTATTTTCTAATCTTGGCAGAGAAGTGACAAGCGTTCAAGCGGCCAGGCAGCTATCCGACGGTCGGGTCCTCCTCACAACCCATGATGTAGACCTTAGTTCTTTTGCATCATAATCTCACCTCCTTCTTAAAACAAAAATTGTTAGCGGAAAACGGACTGCCGGCTTCCACCACAATATTGGCACTCTCGTTTAGGGGATCATATGCCATAACGAATGTGCTCCAAACAGCAACCCCACAACCCTTAGGCAGCAAAGTAGTATCCCCTGGACGATAGATGGATGGTGTGATTCCGACTTGCGTATGTACTTGAAGTCCGATTGAGGAGCAGACCTGACAGAGTGACAGGGTGACAGGGTAGAGGAGTGCTGTGCCCATCATCCGCCAAGACTAACCAAGAATAAAATCTGACTTTCCCTTTGGGGATTGGTCTTTCTGCGCAATTGACCATTTTCGTCGTTTTTCCTTTCTGCAGATTGCTGTTTACTCGGCGGAGAGCTCTCCGTAATGTCTACGTCACACGCAGTAGATCGTTGCCCTGAAGACGAATACATGTGGGCGTCTCGGCTGGTGCCAATGGGGTGATAATCCGTCTCAATGTTGTTGTGATTCCGTCCGATGCCTGACCATCGCATACGGGTATTAATGTCCTGTTGTTGGCGTTTGAGGCACCTTGGAAACCACCGCCTCCCTATTCTTTGGTCAGCAGGCTCAGGTGTGCTCAACCGGCGTGAGGAATAAATGCAAGCACTCATTGACAAAAGAGAACTTGGGAAATAGATAATGCAAAAAAAAATCAGTTGCAGGAAGGTTTATGCATGAGCATCTCCGATGGTAGGTATGAACAATAACCACATCTTCGTCATGTTGTTTGTACGCTATTGACTTGAAACTGTAGCGCCCGTTTCGCTGGCAAACGCGGGCTGCTCTCATCGCTGCCCTTCATCCCTTGACCTCTTCTAGGGCCCCTCGCTATTGTTCATCTGTTCCTTCTTGCTTCGTGCTCTGCAACCCAGCAGAGCTCGCATCTCGCTCGGTGACTTCGACATGCCAGAATGTGTAACAGATAGGAAAGCAGGAGTAAGCCATCCATTTAGATGAAACCAAAGTCAAGACCGGACACCCTCTGTTGAAAACCGAAGAAGTGAAGTCCCCAACGCCACATGTGATGGATGTTTAAAGAGCATGCGTAGAAGAATAGGAAAAAAACGTGAAGGATATTTTGAGGATAGGTAAGGGAAGAAGAGGATGGTAAGAAAAGAAAGATAGACAACCATATAGGGGTAACGGGGAAAATGACCAATAGCCACAATGATCAATCTGTCACCTGTCGCCGTGCCGCCGTAAAAGCATGCCATTCTCTTCTCGTCAATTCGTCCAAGAAACCCGATTCCTGTAATTGCTATTGTTGCCGTCCTTGAAGCAGTTGTTCGCACGCCTGTTGTGCCATCCTCGCGCTAGAGGCTTGTTGGTAACTGTTTAGCTCATCTCTCGTCGGCGGCCGCGAATTGTGAGCGCTGCTAGTCGCAGCATTGGCCGCTCTCTCATCGCGATCTGCCACGTCTGGGAAACCGGGACTTGAAATCTCGTCCTCATCAACATGCCTCGTGCCGTTGAATATCTGCTCAACAGTGTCATAGTACTGTTCGGAAGTAAGTTGGGGAAACCTTTCGTCGCTCGTCAACTCGTAGAAAGGTTGCTCATGGGAGGGCTGTCGACTGGTCGATACCATGTTCATCATGGGTTGCTGCTGGGAATGATTGTTGGGGAAAACATTGTGGAGACCAAGACCAACAGATCCCTCGGACCAGTCAGCTACCATGTTCTGTTGCTGCATATGTGGCGTAGAGTAAGCAGTCCCCCCATGCGATGCCGAGCTGGTATGCTTTCGCTTTTCCAGCTTCTTGCGCCGCCGGATTCCCGTCTTTTCTTCTACTTTGGCATCCTCAAGGCCCAGCCTGATAAGCATGGCCGAAATGTGTTGAGGCTTCCAGTCCCAGACCTTGCATCCGCCCTTCTCCTTCATGTGGGCTATGAGGCGTTGGTATCTCTTCTCTTCGTCTTGAAAAAAGGCTTCTTTCAAACGTTGGATCTGAGAATGGTTGTCAGTTAACAATTCTCCTTTCCCAAGATTCCTCACAAGCCGTTCAAAGCTTACCTCTTGTTCTGGCCACACACCAAATTTGGCTACTGCGCGCGATACCTTCATTTGCAGTGCCGCCTTTGCCCAATTACCCTGGTGCTTCTCTGAGTACTTGGCCTTCATTTCTTCCCACATCCCCTTCCCCTTCTCGGAGATATGCTCCTTTCTGAGCTGGAACAAGAACTTATCGTCTTCCGGTGCGTCATCATGGAGGGTTAGCTCCTCCTTATCACCCTCCCCTTTTTGATAAGCAGCAGGTCCATCTGTGTACCCTGGACGTGGCGACTCCTTTGATTTTCGAGACGATGCCTTTCCAGGCTTGGAGGTCTTGCTCTTCTCCTGTCGCTTTCGCTTCGATGGAGCAATGGTTGGTGTGTGGGCAGCATATGGTGGTTGGAACATGGCGGGATCGCCACGCAGTTCCTCAAACCCAGCGATCCTTGGGGTTGTCTGTGGTCTGTACTGGGAAGGATTGGGATGGGTGAGGAGAGACGCTTGGCCGTTGGAGGCCATCCGATGGTGCATTGGCGATCCATGGATGTTCAAGTGAGGCTGTTGCGTTCTATACAAGTATTCAGACGAGGCATCTACGTCGACGCTGGGAAAATGAGGATATTCCGGAACAGGGTGATGCGATACCTCACCGCCGTGAGAGGTCGAAACGCTATAGGAACCAAAGTAGAGGTCTGCAGGCCCCGGTGGAAATTCGGCTTTGGGAGACGTTGCATGGTGAGCGTTAGGGGCCATGTATGCCGATGACTGATCGAATTGATGGGCTTCTGTTACTGCTGGGAGACCAGACATTGAAGGAGAACCCTGACTGTTGTAGGGACTGTAATACATCCTTCCTGTGTTTGGAGGCGTCGGTACCTCATTGAGAGACATTGCTGATTGTGAAGCGTGGTAATGCTCCATCTTTGGGCACGGCATTTGGTTTAAAGGGGGGCTCTCGGAGCCAGAGATTGGTGTTAGAAGGGTTGTGTCGACGATGGCTGGGTAGTTGAATGAAGAAATGCCCGAAACCTGCCCAATTGGTAAGTGAATGTAGCAGTGAAATGGGACGTTAAAACGTACGGTGAATGGGTCCAACTCAGGGGGGGAGTAGGCAACAGTATGTGGGCCGCTCGGACAAGCGGTCGTACCGGCGAGAGTTAGGCCGTGGACACGCAGTCGGTTCGGGTGATGTGTGTTCGGCGTCAGATACTGGGCGCTGGTCATGTCGAGGTGAAACTGCAAGTGCTCAAAAGGCGTGCAGATGCTGGAGGTGGCAATATAGTCGTCCTCCGAATCTGGAGCCAGACGATCGTCTTCTAGACTGTGATCTTCCTGTCCGTCTATATCCATTTTGGAAATTTAGAATTTTTCTTGATGGGAAACCTGGAACAGAACGCGGCGGGGCTTCTTGGAAGGTATATCCACCTTGTGCTGACCTGCTTTCCCGAAAGAGGGAGAGGGGAGAGGAGGAGGTCCTTGTAGGGTGATGTTTAAATCCTTGACCCGGCAGAAATGGAAAGGGAGGCGGAAGGAGATGCAAGGTGAGCGGCGAGAAAGGAATCAAACGTACCTTATTTTATGTTCTCAAATAAATACACAGCAGCAGACTGAGAACGTCTGAAACGAAGAAGTAGAAGGTTGAGACGGCAGGTCGTGGGGCAAGGATATGGTTTTCTAGTACTGGAGGACGAGCAACTCGTATGAGCAAGCCTCCTTTGCTCCTAGAGAGTGGCCCAGGATCAGGATAACGAGCGGCACGTACTGTGGTACTGGCTCGAGGGCCATGTGGGGGTGGAAAAGTGGATAGGTAATGATACATACCCTTTTGATGTGCATTAGGCTAGCCGCCATCGAGGAATAGGTGTGCGGAGCCTTGGGACTGAACAAAACTGTGTGATTGCCGGGTAATGGGGGTATGAATCGGGGGGGACAAAGCCATGCTGGGTCGGTCTAGAGTCGTTTGCCATGCGGGTCCGATTTGGCAGGCGCATCAACACATACAAGATGATTCCTGGACCCCCTTGACGTGGATTCCTCAACGAATCCCTTTGTCATCTGGAGCTGGTTTTGACTGCGCATCAAACGAGAATTGCGTGCTATTGCTCTTGTTAGCTGGAAGAACTGGCAATCACGTACTGACATAACGGCCAAGAACGAGGCATATGGCCAGCGTGGATGGGAAGAAGAGTAAGCTGGCTGTTATGCAGGGCTTATACAGAGCGGCCGCTTGGTCGAGGCTGTCGGGATTCAGCGCGAGCGGGAAGTGTGTAGGTACAGAACACAGCACGGAGTTCTACCAGAACCCCCTTGCACGTTTAGCAGAGCAAATTGGGCTCAGCGGGCCTCCATGGGGAGCTTCTTGAGCCCCACTGTGTAATAATACAATGGTACCAGATGGCCTAGCTCGAGGCCGAGCTGGTCGCTGGGCCGGGATCACGGTGAACGAAGATGCGGTTTCTTGCTGTGTACCTGTGGTGTAAACAGTCAAATTTTCACCCCGTTCACACTCTCTGGGATGGAAGAGGCGTTCGGGACGGCAACGCTCAACATCAGCCAGGGGGGCGCTGCCCCTGGTCACTTGCCAAGGGTACGGAGTGCCATATACTTCCCAGGGGGTAAGCAGGGGGACAGGTGGTGGAGATAGCACCCAGAGGTCACTGCTGACAGGGATGAGGGACTTGCAAAATGTACGGTGCAGGACTAACTGTATCGCAGTACAAGTGGCCTGCTCAATGGTTCCTGGTCGGTGGTCACTGGATGGGCGGCGACGACAAAAAGGTACATTGGGGGACAAGTGATGTCCACGCAAGGTACCCGAGTGTACAGCCCCGTCCCTTCTCATAACCAGAACTCCTCAATGCGCGTCTCTGGAGAGCAAGCCTGTCATACTTGGTTGATGTAACCAACTGGCGGCTATTGTGCTCCCTTGGCTTTGACCTTGGGCCCGATAGACGCCGCTTAAGACCCATCGCATCATAGTGTAGACAACGAGAAAGAAAAAGCGCAAGATCGGCAGAGAAGAGAAAAAGACGGGCGACCATTCCAGTTCAAAGCAGCCATGTCTACATCCGACAGGCTACCAACTGGAAGGTAATACAACCTGTCCGTGCCCGAACGAAGTGCTTACCTTTGATGCTGGGTCGATCAACAAGGAGCCCCCAGCGGGCTGTTGTGATGTGTAGAGTTGAGCCTAGCGATCCGGTCAAGCTAACGTCGCTAGTGTGAGATTCGATGAGCGGGTAGCGGCTAACTTGACCAGCTCCAGGTGTATCGCCGAGTCCACAGAAGGTCAGGACAAACAGCCCGAAACCGGATTTTGTGATCTGTGTGATGGCATTAAGCTTCGAGTTCCAGAATGCTTGGATGAGAGATCGGGCTTGGAGCGACGGTGGATAATGCGCCGGCGCGGGGGCGGTAAAGTGGGCTCCGGGGCGGGCCACCTGATGAAAACGGTTGCGCCGGACCCCGCCGACTTTTGCGGATCCGAACAAGCCATTGAAAACGGGACCCGTAGGGCCGCGACCCAGTAGTATCAGGCTGAGCAGCTCTGGTCCGGGTTCTTGTTAGTGTTTGCTAGCGATGTCAGCTCAGGGACTAGCTAGCAAATATCAGGAAGGCATGACTACCATTATTGTTCCATTTCGTCCATCATCTCCCAGCTGCTGCGGGCCCGAACGAAGTGCGATGCGACGGAGAGACGCTGTTTAAGTTTAGGCGAGTGACGTGTCCTTCCGCGGTTTTGTCGGGTTGCAATTAGGTGAAGTCGGGGGTCAAATCTTCAAGATGAGCGATAGTGCCGAGAAAGGAGTGCAACAGCATTCTGCATGGTGATGGTTGATTGACTGTGTCCTGCTTTGGTCGGCTCTCTTTCGCCCAATCAGGGCACTGCTGCTGAAAAGGGAAAATGAGGGCAAATTCCGGTGTGACATCTGAGAGCCCTGAAGTTGTCCGACAAGTGAAGTGGGTGGTCTGAGATGAAAAGAAATCCGAGAACTTGAGTGACTGTCGAGCTGCAAGTAGGAAGTGGTTTGATGGCAGAGGCCCCCTCCATGCACGAGTCGCAGCTTCTGTTAATGTTCGGTCTCAAAAATTCTCACCTGGAAAACCTGTGCGAGCATTTTGTGGCAAGCGCGATCAAGAGCACAGGAAATTGAACACCTTCTTTCCAGCCGAGGCATGAGAACAGTCGGCGGGAAAATCATAGCGCGCCAGGGGGGTCGTAGAAAATGATCAAAACAGAAAGGTTCATTCAGGAATCCTTGTCGTTGATCTGGCGGGGATGTTGCGATTTCCGCAGAAAGCGCCCGCCGCCAAGAAAACGGATTGAGTTGCCGGCGGCACTTGACTGTGACAGGTCTGCAGACTCGAAAGATTACTTCAGTCTTGTCACCAGTGTCTTCTCTGTCTTCTCTGCGTCAACAATGATCTCTTGTAACTTTTTTTCAACCTATGCACATGAAAGGGCCATCCGCACTGCCGAAAGATTCTTTCCTGCGAGATGCCCGCCTTGCCCGCCACGGCAGTCTGAAAACAGCTGCCGGTCTTTCAGTGGACCCCGTCCGAGGGCGGCGCAGGTGAGCGAAGCCGGGAATCATGGGGCTTAACTGACAATTCAAGAATTTCCTGGAGGCAGAGTCCAGTGTTATCAACTACAAGATGGTAAGCAGGCGACTCGTTTCAATGTAGTCCTTCTTGCACGATTTTGAGCATCACGCAAATACACTGCAGGAGCTCACCTCGTTGTCGACCAAAGCACGAGAATTGCGGGTGCAACTCTGGTGGAGAGATTGGGGGCTTCAATGTCCAATCGCAACTCTTGCCGTTCCGTCGGGAACGCTAACCCTCTTTGGGCTATGTCTGCCTGGACCAGGCTCACTTCTGGTTAGCGTGTGTCTTGGCGGCCTGACAAGAAATGACTCGTGCTCCCGTCTTGCTGCGCTTCGTGCTGGTGCTGTGTCGTGCGCAATTGTGTGCAGCCGCAGATCTCTGTGATTCTTCAACACTTGTTGCGCGCTTCAAGTTCGCTTCCTTGCGAGAATGGAGGAAGGACACAACATCGAGGCGCGACACACTTCCAACATCATTTCCACTTCCCTTCGAACGCGCTTAGGATTCACTTCCATTGGCCGGAAAAGCCAGATCAAGCACCAGACTAAACCAAGGAGGACAATTCGCCGACCAACTTCACGACCAGGCGCGCGGGGAGAATGGGCAAAGCACGCCATTGGCCCGGGTGAAGAGGGCCGCAACTTGGGGTCCCAGACTGCCAGTGCATGTTGTACCGTACGAATCTTCGCGATCCATCCTCCCGTCGTCCCGCCCACCGTTGACGTTACGGACATTCTGTCTGCGCTGTCCGCTAGAAATTGAAGCGACCTGAAGCCAAAAGGCCCGAGAAAACGGCTCTGTGCTACTGGTAGCCGAAATCATCGAGCCAACCTGGATAGGTAGCATATAACCATAGCTCCGTAAACCAGCAAATTGGCCTGCCCTTCACCTGCAAAAACGCAACGGGAGCCGGTTCCGCGACACCGACAGTATGTACTGGCACCATCGCGTCCTCTCGGTTCATCGCTAATCTTTTTCTCCCCGTTACCTTCCGCTGCTCCCCGCCTCGGAAGCGCGATTGTTAGGTGATCATCACCCCTCCATCTTGTCCACCGGGCTACCTATGAAGCCGGTCTGAAAGCTGTCTTGATCAGTTGAATCCATCCCCAACCCTTGTCTCTGGGCTAGTTCATATTCATTCATGCTTGAACCGCCATCAACGTGAGCTTATCTGATGATATTCACAAAAGCTCTTGGGTGACGGCTGCGGATCAGGCTCCCCTATTCAGGTTTTGCTTGGCCAAGACCCAGGTACCTCTCTCTAGACGTGGGCTTCTCCTTCGGCGTTACCTTGTCATATCCGGAGTTATCTCCAGTGAGCCTGCATTGCTCTCAAAGCAGGCATTTAACCCCTGACAGATCTTCCCTACAAACGTTATACAAACCCTAACATCCAGTAAGTTGTTTACGAAGAATCACCGTTGTTAACCCTTCATCACCACCTCACCGGGGTAACCATGCTCGCTCATTGGTCTCTTCCTGGCTCATTTTGGCCCCTATTTGGGGCTGCGCGGGTCCTGCATTAGCCTGTCCTTGTGTCTGATCCGGACTAGGCTGGTCCCGCTGTGTGGGTGTGCAATGTCCAGGACTCCAGATGAGGTCCCTGTTCTGCCCGATAGGGTTGAGGATTTACCCAGGTCATCTCGTCTCCCGCTGGACCATTCTGTGTTCTTATATCAAGGTGTTGCCAATCCCTTTGCTAACGAGCGCAATACCTGGCTTGTCGGATGGAGCTTGTTCAGAGCCGATATGAAAGACACCTCTCGCGGGCGCAGCATCCGCAGCTCATACGTGTGGAGGGCACAGTGAAGGTTCCCAAAGCATTACTGCTTTACGAGATCTACCGTCCGGCCCCCAAGGTAAGAACTTCTTTTCAACCTTTGGGTCTCTGAACTGCCTGGCCTGCAAGGCTTGGACTCTTGGCATATCCTGGCCGTGGCTCATCGGTTCCATGGCAATTCACCCCTACGATTCAGTGGTTGACAAAAACTGTCTACAATGGGCGCTTCCCACAAAGCCACTGGGAATTCACCATGAGGAGCCTAAATAGCGGCCAACGTTGCATCCAACAGCACGGCACGATTTGGAAGACTTTCCGAGGCCCAAAACCCCCCTCTGACAAAAACTGACCGTACAAGTCCAGGGCCGGGATGGTTATTTAGCTGCACCACGGCTGCACTGCCGCCCCTTGGGTTACGGTTAAGGTGAATGCAACATCCGCTTTTCTGCAAGGTGCCCCAAGCAGAGAACGATGAGATGATGTAAAGTCCTGCTCAAATTCACTACCGTATTATCTCGCGAAATTGAGATCCGGTTAGGCAGGGTTAAAGGTGTTGGTCAACTACATACATCGGGCATA